AGCTAGGGTACCTGACATTGGTGGTGTGTGGTATGGTACCTGGCACTGGTGTTGTGTGGTAGCTAGGGTACCTGACATTGGTGTTGTGTGGTAGGGTACTAGACATTGGTGTTGTGTGGCAGGGTACCTGACACTGGTGTTGTGTGGCAGGGTACCTGCCATTGGTGTTGTGTGGCAGGGTACCAGACATTGGTGTTGTGTGGCAGGGTACCCTACATTGGTGTTGTGTGGCAGGGTACCTGACACTGGTGTTGTGTGGTAGGGTGGTACCTGACATTGGTGTTATGTGCTAGCTAGGGTACCTGCCATTGGTGTTGTGTGGCAGGGTACCTGACATTGGTGTTGTGTGGTAGATAGGGAACCTGACATTGGTGTTGTGTGGTATGGTACCAGACATTGGTGTTGTGTGGTAGCTGGGGTACCTGGCATTGGTGTTGTGTGGTAGCTAGGGTACCTGACACTGGTGTTGTGTGATATGGTACCAGACATTGGGGTTGTGTGGTAGCTGGGGTACCTGGCACTGGTGTTGTGTGGTAGCTAGGGTACCTGACACTGGTGTTGTGTGGCAGGGTACCTGACACTGGTGTTGTGTGGTAGCTAGGGTACCTGACACTGGTGTTGTGTGGCAGGGTACCTGACATTGGTGTTGTGTGTTAGCTGGGGTACCTGGCAATGGTGTTGAATGGTATGGTACCTGACACTGGTGTTGTGTGGTAGCTAGGGTACCTGACATTGGTGTTGTGTGGTATGGTACCTGGCACTGGTGTTGTGTGGTAACTAGGGTACGTGACATTGGTGTTGTGTGGTAGCTAGGGTACCTGACATTGGTGGTGTGTGGTAGCTAGGGTACCTGGCACTGGAGTTGTGTGGTAGCTAGGGTATCTGACATTGGTGTTGTGTGGTAGCTAGGGTACCTGACATTGGTGGTGTGTGGTAGCTAGGGTACCTGGCATTGGTGTAGTGTGGTAGCTAGGGTACCTGACATTGGTGGTGTGTGGTAGCTAGGGTACCTGACATTGGTGTTGTGTGGTAGCTAGGGTACCTGACATTGGTGGTGTGTGGTAGCTAGGGTACCTGGCACTGGTGTTGTGTGGTAGCTAGGGTATCTGACATTGGTGTTGTGTGGTAGCTAGGGTACCTGACATTGGTGGTGTGTGGTAGCTAGGGTACCTGGCATTGGTGTAGTGTGGTAGCTAGGGTACCTGACATTGGTGGTGTGTGGTAGCTAGGGTACCTGACATTGGTGTTGTGTGGTAGCTAGGGTACCTGACATTGGTGTTGTGTGGTAGCTAGGGTACCTGACATTGGTGGTGTGTGGTATGGTACCTGGCACTGGTGTTGTGTGGTAGCTAGGGTACCTGACATTGGTGGTGTGTGGTAGCTAGGGTACCTGACATTGGTGGTGTGTGGTATGGTACCTGACATTGGTGTTGTGTGGTATGGTACCTGACATTGGTGTTGTGTGGTAGCTAGGGTACCTGACACTGGTGTTGTGTGGCAGGGTACCTGACACTGGTGTTGTGTGGTAGCTAGGGTACCTGACACTGGTGTTGTGTGGCAGGGTACCTGACATTGGTGTTGTGTGTAAGCTGGGGTACCTGGCAATGGTGTTGAATGGTATGGTACCTGACATTGGTGTTGTGTGGTAGGGTACCAGACATTGGTGTTGTGTGGTAGCTAGGGTACCTGGCATTGGTGTAGTGTGGTAGCTAGGGTACCTGACATTGGTGGTGTGTGGTAGCTAGGGTACCTGACATTGGTGTTGTGTGGTAGCTAGGGTACCTGACATTGGTGGTGTGTGGTAGCTAGGGTACCTGGCACTGGTGTTGTGTGGTAGCTAGGGTATCTGACATTGGTGTTGTGTGGTAGCTAGGGTACCTGACATTGGTGGTGTGTGGTAGCTAGGGTACCTGGCATTGGTGTAGTGTGGTAGCTAGGGTACCTGACATTGGTGGTGTGTGGTAGCTAGGGTACCTGACATTGGTGTTGTGTGGTAGCTAGGGTACCTGACATTGGTGTTGTGTGGTAGCTAGGGTACCTGACATTGGTGGTGTGTGGTATGGTACCTGACATTGGTGTTGTGTGGTAGCTAGGGTACCTGACATTGGTGTTGTGTGGTATGGTACCTGACATTGGTGTTGTGTGGTATGGTACCTGACATTGGTGGTGTGTGGTAGCTAGGGTACCTGACATTGGTGTAGTGTGGTAGCTAGGGTACCTGACATTGGTGTTGTGTGGTAGCTAGGGTACCTGACATTGGTGTTGTGTGGTATGGTACCTGACATTGGTGTTGTGTGGTATGGTACCTGACATTGGTGGTGTGTGGTAGCTAGGGTACCTGACATTGGTGGTGTGTGGTATGGTACCTGACATTGGTGTTGTGTGGTATGGTACCTGACATTGGTGTTGTGTGGTAGCTAGGGTACCTGACACTGGTGTTGTGTGGTAGCTAGGGTACCTGACATTGGTGTTGTGTGGTAGGGTGGTACCTGACATTGGTGTTATGTGCTAGCTAGGGTACCTGACACTGGTGTTATGTGGCAGATACCTGACATTGGTGTTGTGTGGTAGATAGGGTACCTGACATTGGTGTTGTGTGGTATGGTACCTGACACTTGTGCTATGTGCTAGCTAGGGTACCTGACACTGGTGTTGTGTGGCAGGGTACCTGACATTGGTGTTGTGTGGTATGGTACCTGACACTGGTGTTGTGTGGTAGATAGGGTACCTGACATTGGTGTTGTGTGGTATGGTACCCGACACTTGTGTTATGTGCTAGCTAGGGTCCCTGACACTGGTGTTGTGTGGTAGCTAGGGTACCTGACACTGGTGTTGTGTGGTAGCTAGGGTACCTGACACTGGTGTTGTGTGGTAGCTAGGGTACCTGACATTGGTGTTGTGTGGTATGGTACCTGACACTGGTGTTGTGTGGTAGATAGGGTACCTGACATTGGTGTTGTGTGGTATGGTACCTGACACTTGTGTTATGTGCTAGCTAGGGTCCCTGACACTGGTGTTGTGTGGTAGCTAGGGTACCTGACACTGGTGTTGTGTGGTAGATAGGGTACCTGACATTGGTGTTGTGTGGTATGGTACCTGACACTTGTGTTATGTGCTAGCTAGGGTACCTGACACTGGTGTTGTGTGGTAGCTAGGGTACCTGACACTGGTGTTGTGTGGTAGCTAGGGTACCTGACACTGGTGTTGTGTGGTAGCTAGGGTACCTGACACTGGTGTTATGTGCTAGCTAGGGTACCTGACACTGGTGTTGTGAGGCCGGGTATCTCTCATTATTGTGGAGTGACAACATTTCATTATGTAAGAAGACGAAGTAATTAGCCATTTTTTAGGTCATTCTTTGACACAGTAATCAATAGTCAGCTATGTGGGAGAGCATTGACAGTCATCTAGATAAGATTTATTCACACCTGATTAAATATATTTAATACCAGGTATGTTGAGATATGATTGAAAAGATAAGAGACTTAAGTCAATAGGGGTGGCAGTAGGGTGGGGGCATGAAGGCCTTGATAACATGGAGAAATATCTATACTCACAGGGCTGTACAACATTGGTGTACAGATTGTGCATCCAATTTATCAAAGTTGTCAATTGCATATTACATATAACAAACATTTCTATTCTGGTAAGAAATACACACAATGTTCAGTGTATCAATTGTTCATTTTCTTCAAATTAAAACTGAAGTCCCCACCTTTAATAGGCGAGAGGCTTCTGAGCATGCACAGTAATTTGTCATCAGTATAATTGTTGGAAATCAAGTGAACTGTGCCACATGTTGCCAGCCTGGACCCCAATATTCATTACCGAGACGCCCAAGGACCTAGTTAAATGCCTGCATCATAGCAGAATATGTTAGTGAAGAGTATAGCCTTTGTGACTAAAGATTCTCTTTGGAAACCTGAACATTTAATGTTTTCATATGTTCTGATGATGCCCAAAGAATCCTCTTCTACAAAAAGTAAGAATTTTTTGTTTGCAAAACTACATTATATATCACATTCCTGTTCCAAACCAGTGTACCTAATGTCCCAGTCCATGTTACATCATCCCCCGTTCACCGACCACATTTCACCATCGGCTAGCCCCCTACATCATTTCACCATCAGCCAGCCCCCTACCACATTTCACCATCAGCAAGCCCCCAACCACATTTCACCCTAGGCCAGCCCCCAACCACATTTCACCCTAGGCCAGCCCCCGGACCACATTTCACCATCATCCAGCCCCCGGACCACATTTCACCATCGTCCAGCCCCCCGGACCACATTTCACCATCGTCCAGCCCCCGGACCACATTTCACTCTCGGCCAGCCCCCAACCACATTTCACCCTCGGCCAGCCCCCGGACCACATTTCACCATCGGCCAGCTCCCGTCCACATTTCACCATCGTCCAGCTCCCGACCACATTTCACCCTCGGCCAGCCCCCGACCACATTTCACCATCAGCCAGCTCCCGACCACATTTCCCCATTGGCCATCCCCCGGACCACATTTCACCATCGTCCAGCTCCTGACCACACTCACCATCGGCAAGCTCCCGGACCACATTTCACCATTGGCCATCCCCCGACCACATTTCACCATTAGCCATCCCCCGACCACATTTCACCATTGGCCATCCCCCGACCACATTTCACCATCAGCCAGCCCCCGACCACATTTCACCATTGGCCATCCCCTGACCACATTTCACCATTGGTCAGCCCCTGACCACATTACCCAGAATCCCCTCGGGTCGTCATGTGTATCTCGTGATATGTTAGTCATCAGGTGAGGAGTAGCTGTATGATGGCTGTGTAACTTGGTCTGTCACATCATCTATCATGAGAATGTTTTTTTTAAATATCTACTTCAACAGTCCTGTGAATCACAAATAAATACAGAAGGATTGTTTCTGATGACATTAAATTCAGTATTTTTGCATACAATGGAAAAAGTTACAGCTGAATTTTAATTCAAAACAACAAAATATCCTTTATGATATATCTTGTTTATTTTACAAATTGTACACACAAACATTGCTTGACATATGGTTTCAGCGTTTCCTGCAAGAGAAAAAATTCAACTATATTTTTAACTCATAACGAACCATTCTTTTAGGGACTTCTTGAATTTGGCAATCATAGGTTTCAAAAATCATTATTCTGACCGCGAAACTAGCAGTGGTATCACTACATTTGCTATTCAGAGGAAATAAATTCATTTTCAGTCTTGATTGTTAGGTTGTCTTCAGTATTGCTTCAGCAAATGGATGTTATGAAGAAGGCAAGGACATCATCACAGCACAAAATGTGAAAACCCAGTTAGGCCATATCCTGCACATATACAAGGCAACATGACTCCATACTCATGCGTCGGTACTCCTGGGTTCTGTATGTTTTTTGTTAAACACCACATTCAGCAATATTCCAGCTACATGATGGTGGCTTGTAAATAATTGGAACTGGACCAGGCAACTCACGGATTGATATGTGAGTGGTGAACAATGAGTCTGAACACCCTAGCCATTAAATCGTCTCTTAGGCTGTTAGGGACAAATTTTAATCCTGAAAACCAACAGGGTCGATAACTGTGCCAGTGTATCAAATACCTTTTCTTTTTATTTTGTGATTGCTTCCTGCTCTGTGGCTGCTTCTTGCTCTGTGGCTGCTTCTTGCTCTGTGATTGCTTCTGGTTCTGCTTCCCCACCAGCCCCAGTTCCTTGCGCTCCTGGTATGATGGCCTGAAACATGGAACTCTCAGTCAGGTAGCTGTCTGTGACAGTCAGTGTCCCCATGTGGTTGTCTGTGACAGTCAGTGTCCCCATGTGGTTGTCTGTGACAGTCAGTGTCCCCATGAGGTTGTCTGTGACAATCAGTGTCCCCATGTGGTTGTCTGTGACAGTGTTCCCATGGGGGTGTCTGTGACATTCAGTGTTCCCATGTGGTTGTCTGTGACAGTGTTCCCATGTGGTTGTCTGTGACAGTCAGTGTCCCCATGTGGTTGTCTGTGACATTAAGTGTTCCCATGTGGTTGTCTGTGACAGTCAGTGTCCCCATGTGGTTGTCTGTGACAGTCAGTGTCCCCATGAGGTTGTCTGTGACAATCAGTGTCCCCATGTGGTTGTCTCTGACAGTCAGTGTTCCCATGTGGTTGTCTGTGACAGTCAGTGTTCCCATGTGGTTGTCTGTGACAGTCAGTGTCCCCATGTGGTTGTCTGTGACAGTCAGTGTCCCCATGTGGTTGTCTGTGACATCCAGTGTTCCCATGTGGTTGTCTGTGACAAGTCAGTGTTCCCATGTGGTTGTCTGTGACAGTCAGTGTCCCCATGTGGTTGTCTGTGACAGTGCCCCCATGTGGTTGTCTGTGACAGTCAGTGTCCCCATGTGGTTGTCTGTGACAGTCAGTGTCCCCATGTGGTTGTCTGTGACAGTCAGTGTTCCCATGTGGTTACCTGTGACAGTCAGTGTCCCCATGTGGTTGTCTGTGACAGTGCCCCCATGTGGTTGTCTGTGACAGTCAGTGTCCCCATGTGGTTGTCTGTGACAGTCAGTGTCCCCATGTGGTTGTCTGTGACAGTCAGTGTCCCCATGTGGTTGTCTGTGACAGTCAGTGTCCCCATGTGGTTGTCTGTGACAGTCAGTGTCCCCATGTGGTTGTCTGTGACAAGTCAGTGTTCCCATGTGGTTGTCTGTGACAGTCAGTGTCCCCATGTGGTTGTCTGTGACATTCAGTGTCCCCATGTGGTTGTCTGTGACAGTGTTCCCATGTGGTTGTCTGTGACAATCAGTGTCCCAATGTGGTCGTCTGTGACAAGTCAGTGTTCCCATGTGGTTGTCTGTGACAAGTCAGTGTTCCCATGTGGTTGTCTGTGACAGTCAGTGTTCCCATGTGGTTGTCTGTGACAGTCAGTGTCCCCATGTGGTTGTCTGTGACAGTCAGTGTCCCCATGTGGTTGTCTGTGACAGTCAGTGTCCCCATGTGGTTGTCTGTGACAGTCAGTGTCCCCATGTGGTTGTCTGTGACAATCAGTGTCCCCATGTGGTCGTCTGTGACATTCAGTGTCCCCATGTGGTTGTCTGTGACAGTCAGTGTCCCCATGTGGTTGTCTGTGACAATCAGTGTCCCCATGTGGTTGTCTGTGACAGTGTTCCCATGTGGTTGTCTGTGACAGTCAGTGTCCCCATGTGGTTGTCTGTGACAAGTCAGTGTTCCCATGTGGTTGTCTGTGACAGTCAGTGTCCCCATGTGGTTGTCTGTGACATTCAGTGTCCCAATGTGGTTGTCTGTGACAGTGTTCCCATGTGGTTGTCTGTGACAATCAGTGTCCCCATGTGGTTGTCTGTGACATTCAGTGTTCCCATGTGGTTGTCTGTGACAGTCAGTGTCCCCATGTGGTTGTCTGTGACAGTCAGTGTTCCCACGTGGTTGTCTGTGACATTCAGTGTCCCCATGTGGTTGTCTGTGACATTCAGTGTCCCCATGTGGTCGTGTGTGACAGTCAGTGTTCCCATGTGGTTGTCTGTGACAGTCAGTGTTCCCATGTGGTTGTCTGTGACAATCAGTGTCCCCATGTGGTTGTCTGTGACAGTCAGTGTCCCCATGTGGTTGTCTGTGACAGTCAGTGTTCCCACGTGGTTGTCTGTGACATTCAGTGTCCCCATGTGGTTGTCTGTGACATTCAGTGTCCCCATGTGGTCGTCTGTGACAGTCAGTGTTCCCATGTGGTTGTCTGTGACAGTCAGTGTTCCCATGTGGTTGTCTGTGACAGTCAGTGTCCCCATGTGGTTGTCTGTGACATTCAGTGTCCCCATGTGGTCGTCTGTGACAGTCAGTGTTCCCATGTGGTTGTCTGTGACAGTCAGTGTCCCCATGTGGTTGTCTGTGACAGTCAGTGTTCCCACGTGGTTGTCTGTGACAGTCAGTGTCCCCATGTGGTTGTCTGTGACAGTCAGTGTTCCCATGTGGTTGTCTGTGACAGTCAGTGTCCCCATGTGGTTGTCTGTGACAGTCAGTGTTCCCATGTGGTTACCTGTGACAGTCAGTGTCCCCATGTGGTTGTCTGTGACAGTCAGTGTTCCCACGTGGTTGTCTGTGACAGTCAGTGTCCCCATGTGGTTGTCTGTGACAGTCAGTGTTCCCATGTGGTTGTCTGTGACAGTCAGTGTCCCCATGTGGTTGTCTGTGACAGTCAGTGTCCCCATGTGGTTGTCTGTGACAGTCAGTGTTCCCATGTGGTTGTCTGTGACAAGTCAGTGTTCCCATGTGGTTGTCTGTGACAGTCAGTGTTCCCATGTGGTTGTCTGTGACAAGTCAGTGTTCCCATGTGGTTGTCTGTGACAAGTCAGTGTTCCCATGTGGTTGTCTGTGACAAGTCAGTGTTCCCATGTGGTTGTCTGTGACAGTGTTCCCATGGGGGTGTCTGTGACATTCAGTGTCCCCATGTGGTTGTCTGTGACAGTCAGTGCCCCCATGTGGTTGTCTGTGACAATCAGTGTCCCCATGTGGTTGTCTGTGACAGTCAGTGTTCCCATGTGGTTGTCTGTGACAAGTCAGTGTTCCCATGTGGTTGTCTGTGACAAGTCAGTGTTCCCATGTGGTTGTCTGTGACAGTGTTCCCATGGGGGTGTCTGTGACAGTCAGTGTTCCCATGTGGTTGTCTGTGACATTCAGTGCCCCCATGTGGTTGTCTGTGACAATCAGTGTCCCCATGTGGTTGTCTGTGACAAGTCAGTGTTCCCATGTGGTTGTCTGTGACAGTGTTCCCATGGGGGTGTCTGTGACAGTCAGTGTTCCCATGTGGTTGTCTGTGACATTCAGTGCCCCCATGTGGTTGTCTGTGACAATCAATGTCCCCATGTGGTTGTCTGTGACATTAAGTGTTCCCATGTGGTTGTCTGTGACAATCAGTGTCCCAATGTGGTCGTCTGTGACAAGTCAGTGTTCCCATGTGGTTGTCTGTGACAGTCAGTGTCCCCATGTGGTCGTCTGTGACAATCAGTGTCCCCATGTGGTTGTCTGTGACAGTCAGTGTTCCCATGTGGTTGTCTGTGACAGTCAGTGTCCCCATGTGGTCGTCTGTGACAGTGCCCCCATGTGGTCGTCTGTGACAGTGTCCCCATGTGGTTGTCTGTGACAAGTCAGTGTTCCCATGTGGTTACCTGTGACAGAAAGTTTTCCCTGTTAGTTGTCTGTGAGTCAATCTTATGTAATTACTTTCTGTGATCACAGTCATTGCTATGGATAAAGTTGACCTACCCAGCACGGAACTTCTTGACAGCAGACTTCCCTGTACTCGTCAGTTCCAGGTCAAAAGATGATTTTTTCTTATTCTTCTTTATTTTGGTTTTGGGTCCTGGTGACAGAGACAAATTAAACCACTGCATCAGAACAGTTATAAAACTCAAAAAAAACCCACAGATCTCACAAAAATTCTTACAGATATCATCAAAGACACAGCTTAATAACCCAATTTATTGCCTATTGCATTATACTTGTTCTATGCCCACCTTGACTTCCCTCATTTTCGTTAAACATGCGGATTCTCTTTGGCTTGTTGCTCTTCTTGGAGACCTTGGCTGCATACATCTGAGACTTTGTGATCTCAAAACCAACCCGGTCTTCCGGCTGAAGGAAAACAATACAAGTGGTCTTAATGCCGTTCATTTCAGCAGACATCAGGTCAGCATTAGACTACCCCAGCCACAGCGAGTGTTATTATGTTAACTCTCCATATTCAGCAGCCTATGCGTTGATGAAATCCTAGGTGTTTTGCCCTGAACCAAGAGCATGAGATACCAGGTGCTATCCCAACATATGCAGTGATCCACACCCTATCACTGCAAGGACACTGTGTCAGGCAGTCAGGCGTGTCTGGTTGAGTGAGTGAGTTGGAATTTTATGACACCTTAAAAGTATTCATGCTTTAGCAGCGTGTCAGTTTAATGTTGGAGTAAATCCAATCCAATCCCTAGCACTGCTAAGGGATCTTACTCCCACGCAGCAGGATGCAGCATCTAAGAGCACTGGGTGACTCTTGCTGTCAATGTTTTGTCCAGCTGGAAGTTGTCCCAGCTTCGATCCATTCAAGTTCTAAGTTCAGGTTGGCAGTGGGACTAACTTTACATGGCTTCTGAGACAACAATATCAGGACCATTATAACTTTATTTGTTTAGTTCTGCAGTCCATACTTCAGTGACTTAGAATTTTTAAACAGCCCCTGCAATAAGTGATGGAACAGTAACTTACTGTAAGTTTCCTTGCAGTTGTCTTCTTTCCCTTCTTTTGTTTTGAGAAATCTCCCAATCTAAGTGATTCTGAAACATGAAGTCGAGCATGAACTGAACTGCTGCATTCTTATTGCAACGTCAGCCCCTCTAAACTCAAGGCATTGTTATCCCAATCTCACTGAACTCAGAATGTTTACTCTGACATGTCAGATGATCTTTCTAATCAACCAATCACCATTGGGCTTCTTAATTCCAGAGAAGACCATATCCCATGTCTGTATCACAAACCAGTGAGTCAGTGAGTATGGTTTTACACCGCTTTTAGCAATATTCCAGCAATATCACGGCGGGGGTCATTAGAAATGGGCTTCACACATTGTACCCATGTCGGGAATCGAACCCAGGTCTTCGGCGTGACGAGCGAATGCTTTAACCCCTAGGCTACCCGACCGCCCGTATCACAAAACCAAATATTATTGAGGAGTTCCTAATCTCAAGAACATTTTATGTATCCTGTCATTTCCGACTTCTAATATTACCTTCACCTAAAAGGGCATATGTGATCTTCCTTTGTTAAGATCGAAATTTCCAAATCAGGAAATGAAGACTAACACGACCTAATATCGAGGAGTCTCATGATCAAACACATGGAGCCCATCATCCCACCCATCTTGCAGCACCATCATCCCACCAATGTTGAAGCACTATTATCCCACCAATGTTGAAGCACTATCATCCCACCAATGTTGAAGCACTATTATCCCACCAATGTTGAAGCACTATTATCCCACCAATGTTGAAGCACTATTATTCCACCCATCTTGGAGCCCATCATCCCACCAATGTTAAGGCACTATTATCCCACCAATCTTGGAGCACCATCATCCCACCAATGTTGAAGCACTATTATCCCACCAATGTTAAGGCACTATTACTGCACCCATCTTGGAGCCCATCATCCCACCAATGTTAAGGCACTATTATCCCACCAATCTTGGAGCCCATCATCCCACCAATGTTGAAGCACTATTATCCCACCAATGTTGAAGCACTATTATCCCACCCATCTTGGAGCTCATCATCCCACCAATGTTAAGGCACTATTATCCCACCCATCTTGGAGCACCATCAGCCCACCAATGTTGAAGCACTATTATCCCACCAATGTTGAAGCACTATTATTCCACCCATCTTGGAGCCCATCATCCCACCAATGTTAAGGCACTATTATCCCACCCATCTTGGAGCACCATCATCCCACCAATGTTGAAGCACTATTATCCCACCAATGTTGAAGCACTATTATTCCACCCATCTTGGAGCCCATCATCCCACCAATGTTAAGGCACTATTATCCCACCCATCTTGGAGCCCATCATCCCACCAATGTTGAAGCACTATTATCCCACCCATCTTGGAGCACCATCATCCCACCAATGTTGAAGCACTATTATCCCACCAATGTTGAAGCACTATTATTCCACCCATCTTGGAGCTCATCATCCCACCAATGTTAAGGCACTATTATCCCACCCATCTTGGAGCACCATCAGCCCACCAATGTTGAAGCACTATTATCCCACCAATGTTGAAGCACTATTATTCCACCCAGCTTGGAGCCCATCATCCCACCAATGTTAAGGCACTATTATCCCACCCATCTTGGAGCACCATCAGCCCACCAATGTTAAGGCACTATTATTCCACCCATCTTGGAGCACCATCATCTAAAACATCTTGGAACCCATCATTACTCCCACCTTTCTCTGCCATTCTTTCCCCATGGGACTGGAACCAGGTCCTCTTTCCCCGAGCCCGGGTGTCCTGATCTGCCTCCAGCAGGTTCTTGGCCTTGTTGATTTTATTCTCTGTTGCTTTCATCTCCTTCTCTTCAATCTCCTCACGCTTGATCTCCTTGATGTCTTCTTCTAACACATCAATCTTGTCTCGGAACCGACTGATCACCTCTGTAAACATGCACACATGGCCAGAGTACCGACTGATGGAAACATACAAGACCTACAGACACTATGTATGTGACAGGAACTCCATCTCCATTACCCACAAGTCTGTCAACAGCCTGGCAAAAAGTAATGATGAATCAACCAAAATACAATTTGTTTACAAAAACTATACATATTTCTAAAATTTTATAATAAAATGTAGCAACATGAAAAAGAATTCTAACATGTATTTTATAACTGTAAAATGGCTATAAGCATATATCAAAATTGTATTAGAGTCTATAAGATAATCATCATCGACAATCCCATTAACTGACCAATGAAGTGACTAACAGGAAGTTGACATTAGCCAATAAGATTTGTTTTTGTTTTTTTGTTTGTTTGTTGTTAAATGCCCCACTCAGCAATATTCCAGCCATATGACGGCAGATTCTAAATAATTGAGTATGGACCACACAATCACGTGATTGATTTCTTGAGCATCGACATACGCAATTGGGATACGATGACTTGCATCAACCAAGTGAGCAAGCCTGACCACCCGATCCTGTTAGTCGCCTCTTACTACAAGCATAGTCACCTTTTACGGCAAGCACGGGTTGATGATGACCTCTTCTACCCTGGATCTTCATGTGTCTTAGCCAATCAGAAAGCAGATTTCTCAAGCTGTATGGCACTACTTTCTAAATGGCTTCCATTTCAGAACAACCTCACGAAAAACATTTTGTTCTTGATCCAAAATTTGAAATCTGAACAAAAGTATATTCTGAAAAGCCTAAAACATGGCCAAGAACGTATGGCAGTAGTTCCAACAGGCTATGGAAAGTCTTTTCCATTTCAAATGTTTATCCAGTTGAAATAAGAGATAGAAGATGTCCAGCATTTGGAACCAGTCTGACAGCCTGCAATTGTTGTTCCGTAACCCTGTTTTAACATTTTCAAAGTTGCACGACCACCAAACACATTTGGCTTTCATGATCACACAAGCAACGCTCTGATTGGCTGGATGAAAGATCGATCAGATGTCCTCAGATCTTTGTGTAGCGGAACCGAGCACTAAGATCAGAATTAAATGAGATTGCATGATTGATTGAACACAAGCATGGATGTGCCTGCCCTACCAAGTGGCACCACGCGACTCTTCAGGGGTGTTTTGGCCTTCTTCACAATATCTTTCAACATCTTTCGCTCTTTTTCCCCAACAAGGGTGACAGATCTACAACAGAACAAATTGTTAAGCAATACTCCTGAAACTCAGTAATGCCAAATAGAATTTCAAACAAGTAATGTTCTCAGACAACATTCCAAACATTTATCAAAATTAATTTTACCGAAAAGCCTTATTAGGTTAAACAGACAAACAGCATACATAAGTTATGTCTTCATGAAACATCTTCCAACTACTGACATACATTTTTGGTGTGTCTGCTATTAAAATAAATATATATAGGCAAGTGTCCAGGAAAACATTGTCTTCTGTTCTGGAGAAGCAGATGACACAGCAGACACAAGGAGCCAGCTGCATACCTTCCGCTCTTCCCAGCCCTGGCCGTTCTCCCCACCCGATGGACATAATGCTTGATGGTGTTCGGCATTGTGAAGTTTATCACCTTCAAACAAACAGATGCAAAATTCTCACAAAACAAAGAAATTTCTTTAAAAAATCGGACATGAAATGGCACCCCAAAATACTGCTATACACATATCCCTGGAATTATATTGATATCACCATGCTGCAGGGTGTCACATCTTGCCCATGTGGACTGTGTTTCATACAGTTCAAAGAGTGAGTGAGTGAGTGAGTGAGTGAGTGAGTGAGTGAGTGAGTGAGTGGGTGAGTGAGTGAGTGAGTGAGTGAGTGAGTGAGTGAGTAGTGAGTGAGTTGGGTTTAACGCCGCTTTTAACAGCATTCCAGTTATATCACGGCATGTCAGCTTATGGTGGGAGGAAAGCTCGAAGTGACATTTACCACTTCGGTGGAACCCACGAGCATGGGTATGGTGCTGACAAACCACAGTTCATTGAAGATGCATCAGCAGTTATTGGTATGTTGGACCATAATCTGTACATTCAACACTTGACACACACCAACCGTGAGTGAGTTGTTTTTATTCAAAGCTCCTAATCACTTCCAGAAGGTGGCCCAGTCATGTAAGGTGTCACAGTTTGCTGTGCAGGGGTACATACCTATGATCCTATGATTGTGATTTGAAATATAAAGGTCCTGTTTTTATCAAATCTTACAGTACAGGACACTGTAGACACCATTTGATTACTTTTCCTTGTAATTAATAATTTGGGATCCCCTGGATCTCTTGTTTTGTAGGTCAAGGTAAAACCCAACAGTCATATTTTTTAACTTATCCTGCATTAATCCTTAGGCATATTACTGCTTTTTGTTGACAGAAAGAAGAGCTGTGTGAAGTCTTACTGAAGAAGTTATTACAACTAGCTGTGAGGACAACCCTATCACACAGCTCCCACGTGACCACGGAAGTGATGACATCATGGATCAGCACATTACTACTGTCACTCACAGTGGATACACCTGTGTGATCTCTCAGCATAAAAATCTTGATTCTCACTTGTTGTGTTGATTCTGAGTGAATTTGTCTTGTGATTCTATTGTGCATCCGGTATGTATCGTCATATATTTCATAGGATTTACGCCATAGCATAATTATTTGACACCTGTTGGTGCATTTTCATCATAGTAAGTTCAGCTGTCTTGTTGTTTCAGTAGCCATCTTGAATATTGTATAGGTTGGATCACACAGAAGTCATAGGAGGGGAAAATAGATTATCATATCTTAAAATGACATCAGACTAAACCTTTTCAAACTCCATAAGCAGACAAAATGACAGATTTTCTCAAAAGACTAAGGGAGTTAATTTGGAAAAGTTTGTGCATAAAGGACAAGGGACAGAACTCTGGATGCGAAAATAAAATTGAGCATGGTATTTGTGATGATATTTATTGAAAACAAGAGTAATCACACTATTAATAGTACTATCTGGCATGTGTGGCATGTCAGCATTTTTCAGCCTGTTAATTGTTATCTCTACTGACCGTCTTGACCCCATCTATGTCCAGTCCACGAGAGGCCAGGTCAGTGGCTAGCATCACATCTATGTCCCCATCCTTGAACTTTTTCAAGGTCTCCAGTCTCTGTTGTAACAAATAACAACAATAACATCACATGATTATCAAACAACAACAACAATAACAACACTGAACAAACACTGAACTAATACCCCCTACATCGACTAATAAGCACTATTTCTTGGAATCCGCTTATCGAAATCAAACTTTGCACTGCACCTCACCTATTAGTATGGAAACTGTTCCCTAAATTTGAAAAGAATCCACAAGGCAGTTTTCAAGTTATAGGTCACAAAAATGTTCCAGTAAACAATTCTAATTAAAAAAATGAATACAGAAAATTCAAATATTGAAATCAAACTTCGCCCTACACCTCTGCTGTAGGTATAAAAAGCGTTCACCACGTTTGAAAAGAATCTATGCAGCAGTTTTCAAGTTATAGGTCACATACAAAATATTGGCGGAATTCCTTGGTATAACTATATACCCCTGCCCTTATAGGTCAGGGGAGGCTTCACAGGTTAGTTTGACCTTATCTAGAGCTAAATCTTCTGGGATGTAAACAATCCACATCTCAGTCCATCTCCTCTCTCAATTCTCACAGAAGCAGTCATGTGACTCAGGACTTGGTGTCCTTACAAAATGGCCTCCACTCTGAAGACGACCTGATTCCCCATCTATCTCAGTAACCAGGTAGTGTCAGTATGATATACTGAACTGTGATTACACACATGCAGGTCACTCAATGAATAGTTAGACAGTAGCGATTGTGTTCTTTGCATGTCCTTGTCATGTGATCACTAAATGGAGTGGAACATCCAGTACATAGATTTCAGGATATTGTTTCTTCATGAAAGGTAATGCACAAAAAAACAAACTTATCTGTCTCATTAAAACTTTCCATGACATTCAAAGTTTGGTCAAGAGTGAAATATGGACCTATTTCAGAAGAACCCATAACATATTTTTTCCCCGTATGTGACATTTATCAAACTGTTTTACTGTTCTTTGAAGATAAGCATTTAATAATCATTGAATTGTTCCCATCGCCATATGGCTCAAATATCTCTGGTGCAATGTCGTAAGGTATTGATGGCCTAATAGTCAACTTGTGACAAATGTAGTTCAGCTGACATCTCTCCTAGAAACTGATTGCTGACGTTGATTCTGTGCCAAGCAAGCGAGGTGTGGAATGTTTACCTGAGCCTGTGAGAGATTGCCGTGGAGTTCCCCGACGTTCACACCGAGGAGCCCCAGGATGATGTGCATGCGATGAGCCTGGATCTTTGTCTGTATGAACACCATACACTTGTCACAGAAGGTGCGGGTCACCAACGCTGTCAACAAATGGGCATATATGAGCCGGACATGAGATGCCAGACAAAGAACACCGTTGGCTCTCAGGTGATGGCCTTTCACAAACTGATAAGAACATGGGGAAGACTCTTTTCATTATTCTATGGAAACTTTGTGCCACATGGTTGTCAAAATATATTAGATGGCAGAAGTAATGTTGTTTAATGCCATCATCAGCAATATTTCAGCATCCCTGGCAACCTGTCGACTCTGGACCAGGCAAACCAGTGCCTGAAAACAACTGTCCACACCATCATGACACTCAGAAACTCAGTCAGTCAAGTCATAGAGCCGAACTAGGCTTAAAATTTTGGTGTTGGGCATTTTTCAAATCTTTTCATGTTTTCAATGAAAGTGCTCAAGTGATTTGATGCACTTCATGAGGTAAGACCTGTTTTATTACAATATAGAACTTGACTGTTGATCAGATCGTATTGACTGGGTGCCACGATTTTGTTTGAAGTAATGCAATGGATATGAGATGTGGAATCTGATTGGTCCATAGGAAGGACGTAGAAGGGACGTAACTCGTAACAGCCACTGGGGGTGCTTTGATGAGGGTCCTAATGGATGGGTCCCATAAGCAGTAAGCAGTAAAATTTCGGGTACTTTTTCATTAAGCAGTAATTTTTCTTCATTTTCAATAAAATCGTTGCAAAAAATTCCTAAATCGGCCACGGAGGGACATGGGACTTTTAATTCTGCTTTCGTTTCATCCTGACAATTCATATTTTTAATACCTTGTAAAATCTCAAATCGCTAAACATTCTAGACTGGTCCCCTGTGTCAGTTGCACAGCCTGCTTTCTGTGGCGAAGCATTTGGGTCTTGAAGACAGACTGTTTTTGACCATTTTAATCATTTTACGAAAAGCAGTAAATTATTTATTTACGTTAAGCAGTTAATTTTTGGTATCTTACGATAAGCATTTACAATAAAAAAAGATTAATTTTACGTTTACGATAGTGTTTGAAGGGTGTTTTACGTTAAGCATTAAAACCCATCAGGAACCTCTTTGATCAAGCCACAAAATCCCAGCCTAGTTCGGCAAGGGTGGAAACTGGACTTTTATATTCAGTTAACTCCCTTGCCTTGGGAAGATGCTTCATGGGATGTTTACTGCCACTGTTACTATTTTAGCACCAGTCAGAAAACATTACCACTGTGTGCCTACATGTTCAAATTGTTTTGTAAACTTAAAGATAAATAGTTTTGGAAACTACAGGTTATAAAAACTTAAACTCTATTCTTTAATATGCACCCTGACCATGCTTGTGAAGGCTGGTGCACAGTCATCATTGGTCTAAATAAGAATGTTACTGAGGGAGGAATTCGTGGCCACGTATGACACCCAACAGGTGTTGGAGAGTAAAGTGGAGTATCAGATAGCTATGATATATATACGGATATCCTACCTGAAACAATGGCCTCTCTGTCTCCCTCTCGGTTGGGCCGTATCCTGATGAACTCCTGTCTCAGACCGAGAGCTACGTCAGTATTCTCATTCATGAAGACTTTCACTGGGTTCTTTAAGGACACTGCTGCCAAGTCTTTCACCTGTAGTAAGATACACATTATCACTGGCACACCCACTCTCTGCAGAGCTGCTTAGAGATTGATACAGCTTAAAATAGGCTACTTCAGTTTGGGGTGGAATAACCAGCAAGTCAATAACCATGATATCTCATAAAAACAATACTTTATGCGATCGACTACAGTGTCCTCGCTTCTTGCACTAGCAACTTCAGCTCCTGAATTGGACGGTGACATAAACGTCCGTGACTCCTAAATAGCAGCTAGTCAAGGCCTCACCTCCTCCGACATGGTTGCTGAGAACAGCATGGTCTGCCTCTGTAGACTACACAGACGGATAATCTCCTTCATCTGCTCCGCAAAATATTCATCCAGCATCCTGCCAACACAACACAACAGGGCTTCAGAGATGGTATTAGGCACACTGGTTCAAGTCTGTCCTGTTAAAGGCATCCAATGGTCCCGAGGTCCCATCATGGAGGGGACACTATCTCCATACACTGGCTAATAGCACTACATAATGTCCATTTAATATGGTCTTTATAAACATATTTTACATGAAATGAACATCTTGTAATGAATGTAGAATACAAACAATGGGCATAAGAGGTATACACAAGTATCACAAAGTGAACAAAATGGTGATACTAACTATGCATCTTCGTAAGATCATCAAGACAACAAACATAGCTACTACTTTAGTTATATTTATGGAACTAAGTTGATTATTTTTTTCTTGAAATGCACAAAATTAAGAGTTCAATCCCTCCTACAGATACATCATGTTTCCAATGCATACTGGTATTTCAAAACAGCTCCTGTTTATTAGAATATATCACAAACTCAATACAGTTTTAGATAGCAATATCAATCATTATTCTTTATAGTTTGCCTACTGCTGTTTTTAGTTGTTTTCTGTTTTTGCAATGCCTGATAACAAGGAATACCTTATTACCGAAACCAGCTTCAGAGATTATTCATGGTGTGCAGGCTGCCTACCTATCGGCTTCATCCAACACAAGGATCTCGATGTTACTGAGGCTGAAGTTGGGAGCGTTGTGCAGATGGTCAATCAGTCGTCCCGGAGTAGCCACAACTATGTCGGGACCCATCCTTAGTGCAGCTTCCTGGCTCTTCACATCCAGGCCACCTGCACACACAGACACGTGGGAGTAAATCAGGTTTGTTTGTTTGTTTGTTGTGTAATGCTGTACTGAGCAATATTCCAGCTTTGTGACGGTGGTCTCTAAACAAAAGGCCCATAGAGCCTGTATTGCTCACCTGGATATTTACGCAATCATGACAAAATATACATTTGCATTGTACATGCATATAATACTGCAATATTTCGTAATTTTGACCCTGTCAGCATTTAAAAGGGATGGATTGCAAATCTGACAGCATGAATGTGTACTTCTCTAGATACAAATGTAGCATAAAGATCTGAACCGTTTCCATGTGATCCAGGATCTAAGTTTCCAGAGGCAAGGCTGGAACCCAGGGTGAATCCTATTGGCATAAATGTTTTATTCTCTTCATAACAAACAAATGTATACAATGTATCTGTTTATTATACGGTGGGGATAATATCCGTTTGCATGTTATGGTCAAGGTTCTAACTCCTTTAGGAGTGCCGGACAGATGAACAGAAGGGCCAGTCCTGGTAGCATATGTGCATTCCTCTCATTATGCTCAGCAATTGTACTTGGGACGGTGGGGATCTTAACTGTGTCCTAGTTATGAACTCTTTTTGGCCCCGCCCCTCAGCCCCTTGGGGGGTCAGCCCCTCCATATGTACAATTGTGAATTCGCATCACCTGAGAATACTTCCAACCAATATGGTTGATGTCCATCTCCTAGTTCCAGAGGAAAAGTTGTTTAAAGCAATAACGCAAAATTAACCTTATTTGGCCCCGCCCCTCAGCCCTTTGCGGGTTGATAAGCCGTTGTGAGTATGATCAAAGCTAAGAATTGCTACGATCTTTCTTGATGGTCACTCATCTAAATACTTTATATTTCATAAACTTGTAACTGTTGTGACAAGCAGGGGTACTGATGACTTATTCTTCCCTAGATCCAGAAGTTGGGAACATCAATCTAGTACAACTCAGAGCAAACATTTTTAAGACAATCAGGTACATGTACATGACCAAATGGCCTACATACCAGCTGAGAGACAGAGGTCGATGTTGGTGAACTGGGCCAGCTGTCTGCCCACGGTGTGGACCTGTACTGCCAACTCTCTTGTGGGCACCAGGATCAACACACGGGTCACTGATGTTTGCTTCGGACGGTACAGAAGTCTCTCCAGGATCGGTAACATGAAGGCTGCTGTTTTACCTGTTAAATAGAGTGAGTGAGTGAGTGAGTATGGTTTTACGCCGCTTTAAGCAATATTCCAGCAATATCACGGCAGGGGACACCAGAATGATAAATAGAAAACCGAATTAACAGAATTATGAATTGTTTTTGTTTTTTTCATACCTTTACCATGTTTACAAAAACAGCTGTTTTCTAAAAAATAGAATACATGAAGGAAGATTATTTCACTTGTATTACAAAAAATTCTTCTATTTCATTTTATCTGCAGGACCAGGTTGTTAAATTAAACGACTGAGAGCAAAAACCTAAAAAAAACCACCTGTTATTTAAAAAAGTTACATTAAGAAACTTTCACTATAACCATGATAACCAAATGATTGTTTGACATACTGACCGGACCCTGTGACAGCACAAGCACAGATGTCTTTACCCAGCAGGGCTATGGGTATAGTGGCTGACTGAATAGGGGTGGGCCTCACAAACTTCATTCCGCTGAGAGCCTGCAGAATCAGAATGACATTTATTAAATTGAGATAAGGGCAACAAATATAGCAACAATTATGTTTTTCATCTCCCACTTCAAAACTTCCCATGACACATGTTCAGGGCTATATTCTATGATTCTGTCCTCTCCAAAGTTTACTGTGAGTCATCTTCCCGAGGCAAGAGAGTTTACTGACTCTTAAGTCCAGTTTCCACCCTTGCCCATTTAGACTGGAATTTCTGGGCTCGATCGGAGCGGGACCAGTGGCTATTACAAGGTATGTCCCTTCTATGCCTCTCCTATTGACCAATCAGATTCCACCTCTCACATCACTTGCATTTGCTTCAAACAAAATGACGGTGCCCACTCAAGACGATCTGATCGATGATCAAGATCTATATTGTATCAAAATGGGTCTTACATTGCCAAGTGCATCAAATCATATGAGCACCTTGATCAAAAACATAAAAAGATTTGGAAAATATCTGTCAACATCCAGTTGACGGTACACAAATGCTGCAGTGAACAGAAATCTGCACGTTGAAATTCATGTTGTTTATGAACCGCATGTTGATTTTGTAACGTGATTTTGATTGGACCACACATAGAGTTGTTAGTCCAGTCAAAATAAAACTTCATAATTGCAGCCTAGTTTGGCAAGGGCGGAAACTGGACTTTTACAGTTAGTTATTTCCCTTGCCTTGGAAAGATGGCAGATCACTTGCTGATAAAACAACGTTGACCAGGTGAAACCCACGACCAGCGGGTCCTGGCTAAAGCTTAAACTCTGCAGAGTGAACTGCAACACCTTACACCACAGGGCCATCCTACATCCGAATCAGTAGAGATCAAATGTATACAATCTTACAGCAAATTAAATTGTTTCTTCCACACAGTTACATAACACTGACTCATACATTTTTCATAACCCGTGAAGATCCGGGTTACAACAGGTCTTCAGCAACCCATGCTTGTCGTAAGAGGCGACTAAAGGAATCAGGTGGTCAGGCTCGCTGACTTGGTTGATGCATGTCATTGTATCCCAATTGTGAAGATCGATGTTCATGAAGTCAATCATTGGATTGTCTGGTCCAGACTTGATTATTTACAGACCGCCGTCATATAGCTGGAATATTGCTGAGTGCGGCGTTAAACAACAAACAGTGAGTGAGTGGTTTTACGTCGTTTTTAGCAATATTCCAGCAATATCACAGCAGGGGACACCAGAAATGGGCTTCACACATTGTTCCAATGTCGGGAATCGAACCCGTGTCTTTGGCGCTTTAACCACTAGGCTACCCGACCGCCCCTAAAACAACAAACAAAGATGTTCACAGATGCCTGATGTGTTCACTTGAGCAGTTATGTCCGTGGCTCCTCTACAAGGACAGTCTCTGCTGACAGAGCGACTCACCTTCAGAAGGGGCCTTGATATGTGCATGTCTTGAAACAGAGTCTTATCATCAAAGGAATCAATCGATTCGGAAAACACAATTTTCTCACTCAACTGCAACAAAAAACAATCTCAAACAATTTCACACGGTGACGTCCTGCTATATTTGACATACATCAGATATATCACAATGCAGAGTTCTCAGCTTTATTTGTCTGAATGTGAAGGTCAAACACATCAAAAGTTTCCTACGTTCAGTGAACTGCAAGGGAAGTTGTACGGCAAGGTCCTCACATCAATACCCCGTTTGCAGAGCTCTCTATACTATCGCTGCCACCAGTCAAAGCTCCCTACTGTGATAGGTGGCTACAACCATAAAATAAAGTTGAACTCGCAGCCGACTGACCGTTATGTTTGCAAACAAGTGATGACTGTGGTGACGCCGAATACGCTTACCCCAGCTGAATTATTTTCTTTGTCACTTTGAATTTCTATTTCATTTCTACTATCATGTTATTACTATAGTAAGAATGTAAGGAAGAAGTTGGGGATGTTCAATTAGTCTGCAATCTTGAAACAATCTGATCAAACAAACAAAAAGGTAAATTCATCTCGGAAATATGGTCAGTCGTAAACCTTTTCAACGAATGACGGCATTCTCAAAGACATAAACAAAAGTATCAACATTACTTCATTTTGGGTTAGAGGGAAAATTTCAAGATTCTTGTAATGGCTGGGCCAACACTGGTGGCAACGATGTTACCGAGGGTGTAACGAAGGTGTCACGCGCTGGGAAGGAGCTTGGTTGTACGGGGGTGAGGGGAGGTAATTCTGATTACAAGCTGAACCATGTATGATGTACTTACAAGTCTTGCAAAATAAAATATTTATTTTAATACAGGAGATTTACTTTGCCAAAACACACTTCTATATATCAGTGTTAGGAAATAATGTATGGGTAATATTTCAACTCACAACTTCCTCTTCTGCAATGATATCTTTCTTCTTTTTCTTCTTCTTTTTCTCTTTTGTTCTAATCATGTCTGAAAATGAATGTTAATCAATGTACTTGCCCTCCCAACATCATGAACAGGAAATTACACACAGGACGTGTTAACTACTGACTGACTCCATGTTCAGTGTGAAGCAGTATTCCAATCCGTAATGTCGAACATATTAACCATCTTAATCCATTTCAACATTTTGTTTTTGACATAAGAAATTCCTTCAAACTTCAAACTAAGAATTTACCACATTAGGCCATTAATAATCAAAACTAATCATTTGAAATGTTTGAGCTTGGATGGATTGTGATCATACTGATAACTGGACCAATTCAAAATGACAAAAGGAAAATGGATCAAATGGCTACAATTTTTGACCATATAATTCTTTTTTAACAATTTGCCTATCATGACCATCTCATATTTATTACTAGTCCGTCAAGAGATAACCTGTTCAAGAACAATAAGCAGGTCTTACACAGTGTTTTTAAACCAAAGCATGTACATATGTATTGCAGGAACAAGATTCACAAACAATTATTGAAAACTCTCAACATCCCTTGGCAAATTTAATGACATGGCGAGATGAGAGATCACTGAGAGTTTATGCACACTCGATGACCCCAGCAACCCAGTTGCTAGGCTGACATCACATGGCATTGTTTCTTGCAACATTGTTTCTTGCAACATAATTTCACAAATTATGTCATAGGGTTTCGTGACTTGATTGTAAACCTTGTGATCCCGGTCCACAAGGCAATAGTAGTGCAATGACAGTCATAAGTCTATGTTAAATTATGGGAGTAACGATAACCTTACTGCTACGATAGTTTTGTGGAAAGGACCCCTGACGTCAGAAGGTGGTCTGTTGTATGGTATTAAATTATTCATGTGTTAATACGTGTGAACTTTAGACTTGTTTGAAGTATTATTTTGTTAAACGCAATTGGATTATGCTGTGAATAGCATAGATGTCTGCCCTTTTCACACACAACAGAGAAATTAAAACAAGAGGCCCATAGGATCTGTATCGCTCATCTGGATATTTACGCAATCATGACAAAATATACATTTGCATTGTACATGTATATAATACTGCAAATATTTCGTAATTTTGACTGTCAGCATTTAAAATGGGTGGATGGCAAATCTGACAGCATGAACATGTATTTCTCTAGATACAAATGTAGCATAAAGATCTGAACTGTTTGTATGTTATGATCCAGGATCCAGGATCCAGGGGTGGGGGGTGGGGGGAGGGGTTCAGTCCCTCCATATCTTCACTTTGAATCCCCACCATTGGAGAATGCTTCCAACCAAATATGGTTGATATCTATGTCTTAGTTCCAGAGAAGAAGTTGTTTAAAGCAATAACACCAAATTACCCCTATTTGGCCCTTTGGGGGATGATCAGCCCTTCAATTTGTACAACTTAGAATTCTCCCCACCGGAGAATGCTTACAACCATATATGGTTGATATCTATCTCTTAGTTTCAGAGAAGAAGTTGTTTAAATATATAGACAAAGTAACCCTATTTGGCCCTGCCCCTCAACCCCTTGAGGGGTCAGCCCCACCATTTGTACAATTTTGAATCCTCGACACCTCAATAACTCGCTCCCGAGTAATACCAATTTTATGAAACTTATGAATAATTAATCTCATTCCCTTTCACTCGTCAGATACCATAACTATTCAGTCATTTCATAAACATGGTATTACACGGGAGCTTGTTGAGTATTCTATATACCGGGTATAGCAATGTATATATACAACTATGATGACTATAGGATTGGACTCACCAGGTTTGAGATCTTCATCCTCCTCTGAGGAACTCTCCATGTCTTCTTCCACTTCCTCATCACTACCAGCCTTGCTATTTGCATTACCATTCTCATCAACATCCTGAAACATGACATTATAGGTCCTATGTTTTATTCATGCGACTCCCAAGGAAAGGCTGCACATAACACCAGATCAAGATTGTTGAATGAATCAGAAACATTGACAGTGGCACAATCATTTTAAACACCTTTCTTTTGAAGAGTCAATGGGTCTCTGACAGACCTAAACCAATTTCATTGAAACCCCTCTGCTACATCAAACTTGCAGATGTGTTCCAGGATAGCTATGAGACTTGGTAAACTATCATAGATTTCTAAACATTTTAACCCCAAACATTAAAGGAACCAGAGAAGGAGGGAGTGAGTACAACACTTTGAAAAAGTATTTCAGTTTCCAGTGATACAAGTCTTGGACAATCCCCCTTTTGTTGAGACGCATGAGCACAATTAATGTGCAGCAAACCAACTCTCAGGGCAAATGGGAAATATGAACCCACGATCATATCAATGATCAACGCATCAATTTGAGACACCTCAGATGATGGGGCCACCAGTGCAGGTATTAGACCAAGGAGATCAAGAATATCACAGTCCAAAGTTTATCGTTCTGGCATTCCTTCAATCAGTTGTGATCATTGTGAATATGGTGAACAGAGAAACTAAACCGCAATGACTGCCAAATAGTAGGGTGAAACAAATGTTTACATACTGCTTTCCTTCTTTTTTTACGAGCTTCCGCTATTTTGTCATCAAGAGATGAAGCAGATTTTCTCTTCTTGGCCATTTTGAGCACAACATCTGGATCAAACGTGTCTGCAATGTCATACTGTGGACAAAAGAATTAAAGTCAATGTAACATAACCCATGATGGCTGGCAAACAAACTATCTAGAACACTGTACTATATAATAGTACATTTTGTGTAATTAATGTATGGTGCTTCATCACATATACATAGTGAGTGAATGAATGTTTTGTTACACCACAAGCTCTAAGCAAACCAGTGGCCATCAAGCATGAGCATTTGCCACATCAATAATTGTACATATCTGGTTGTAAATCTTTAGTGCTATCATTGGATAGCTTATGTTCTGCGCTTTATTTTTGAACTTGCATCTTCTGTATTGGCTTAGTATTTACTTTGCTATTTAGGTTTTCCCTATGTTAGGAAACACACTTTGGTTACTTTACCATGATATAGCATTCCCACGGCTGAACAGGACAGGTTGTTCTCTCCGAGGTCCACACGTATAAAACCCTTGGCAAAATTATGTGTCTTGACCGACAGGGATCACTAGACCATTTACGGGTCGTCTTGCTACTGGGTGGTCATTTCAAACTCGGGTTTCGTTCATGCTACTTATGGGGCAGTTGTTATGTAGTACTAAAGTACTGTCGGAAATGCTAGAAAACTGCTTTTCTGGATTCAGTTGATAACAAATTCAAGTCATAGGACTATAAAAAGTGCATATATCAAACTAACACAAATTGCCCTAATCTAGCCTGTCCTCATTGACACTGTGATTATGCTTAAAATGTACTTTTACAGGTAAAATGATGATCAACTTAGAAAATATTTGTGTGTTGTCATGCATGTATGAAATGGCCTATAACCTGAGTTAATTACACTTGTCCCGAGGTGACCTCACACCGTCCTGTGAATTCTCACTGGTGCAAATGTCACCGAGCTGGGGGTGGTCTCAAAATATTGCTGTTATTGTACTTAATTGACATGTGTGTTGATGGGGTAGAAATTAAGGATATGTACTGCATTATATTTGCTTGGAAACATGATAGTATAGTTAAGAGCTATGAAACCGGATGAGTATTGGAAGGTTGCGGTTTTGGAATCCAGAAGTATTCGGTGTTCTACAGATGATTTCTTGAGGTAGCATTATCTCCGCTGATGACGTACATGAATCTGTACTTTTGAATGTTGCGTTATCCTTGCCACGAACCCTTTACACTTAGCCAAGATGGGCACAACAGGGTTGAGCTCACAATGTCTGACTGCGTACTTAATACAGTGTAACCGTGTTGTGCCGTTGTGCGTAGTCATGAATGGTTCGGAGATAATGTGACCTCAAAGACAGGATGAAACATTTTCCCCTGAAAAGTGCTCTTCATCGCCACGCCCAGTGTATCAAAATCCCATCTCTTGGAGAGCAGTAGTTAGTGCAGTTAACATCAATTGTATCTTTAATTCCTCCCAAATTCTACTACAAGTCAGGGTTACCTTCTGCTCATAAAGCTTGTACACTATACGCCTAATCACCCTGTATCAAAGCTGTCTAATATCCTTTTACGTCCCAGTTTTGTTTTTGAAGCCACCCCTATACCTGTTTTGTTTTATTTATCATACCGTAGACTTTATGGTATGAATTGAAAACCAAATGGCTTGGGCAGTTCGGTAATTCACCCTATCTAAATTAATAAATGGTTTCCCTCTATCCCTCTAAAGTGTAAAGAACTTGTATACATTTCCCAGTACAGACTCCATATCATGTACCATGGTTATGGCCATGCAAGTGTAATGTAACAAGCTTCATGGGAGCACTGTTAACAAAACAAACACATCGCCATTTTGTCATTTTAGGAGATGCACATCTAGAATTTTCTCCAAATGAGTTTTGTGTAGATTAGATGTTTTATGAAGACTACATTATCATCATTATAACAGAGTCACGTGCGCATATTTCTATGGTCTGTTTCAGACTGCCATCATTGGACTTTGAATAAATGTAAACTTCCTGTTTTCGTTCGCATTTGTCTCCTGTAAACTTGGCGATAGGACTCCTTGTGACTGAAATACTTCAAACCACAGGTAGGGCGATTGGTAGTTACTCGATATTTCAATAGCAACAGTCTGTGAAAAATAATATCCTTTTTTAACAGGCAAAAAGCAGTTTTCTAGCATTTCCGAGAGTATGTTAACTTACTCTGGTTGTATTGAGCTGAACTTATTAGCTAGGGTTGTTCATACTCCGTTTATCTAGCAATCCATGGATGACCAAATTTCCTGTGATTGCCTAGTTTAGGTCAAGTACCTATTTACAATTGGGAGTCAAGGTACTCTTTTGGTCAAGTTCCCTTTTTAAAGATTGTGAGTCTAGATTCTCCTTAGGTAAAGTACCTTGTATTATGGGGAAGTTCAGAATTTCCTTGCCCAGTGTCAAAGTGACTGGGTTTTTAGTCTAAAAGACTAGTTTGCTATTCATGCGTTTTTTATCCATTTCATTGTCGAAGAGATTTATTTTAAGTGTTTATTTAACCTAGCTAAGGTTATTCACTCATTAGAGCGTAGAGTTAACTCTCAGGTGTTATTTGGTCGAAGCCGACTTAATTGGTGGTCTTGTCAAAATGCATCTTCCCGAGGCAAGGGAGTTAACTGTTAACAGTGGTTATTACAAGTTATGTCCCTTCTAAGCGTCTCCCATGGACCAATCAGATTCCAACTCTCGTATCACTTACAAAATGGCGGTGCCCAGTCAAGACGATCTGATCAATAATCAAGATCTACACTGTGATAAAACGGGTCTTACTTGGCGAAGTGCATCAAATCACATGAGCACCTTGATCAAAAAGAAGAAAAGACTTGGAAAATTTCTGTTGACAACGAGTTGGTGGTGCACATGCTTTACAAATCCTGCAATCGACCAAAATCTGCATGGCAGTTTGCTAACCGGATTTCGATTTTGTTACGCGATTTTGATTGGACTATGCATAGACTCATTAGTCCAGCCAAAATGTAACTCGATAATACCAGCCTAGTTCGGCAAAGGTGGAAACTGAACTTTTCTCATGTTTATAGTCAGTTAACTCTCTTGCCTCGGGAAGATGGTCAAAGTGAAGATTTAGCTACTCTCTCTTCATTTCTGTAATACAGTTACTTAGCTAATCCGCGTGTACATTTGTCCTGGAGTAAATAATCAGTCAACATTGTCAGTGTAAATTGGGGTTTTGATCCTTTTATTGTCATCTATACTTACAACTAGCTGATAATAATAAACCTGTGGACCTGTTACCACGTTTTCATTATTACTTTATTCTTGTTTAAGGACAAAATGATCTCTGGAGCACAGCTTTGTGACTCTCATGAAGTTATTATTTGCCATCATGGTTTTCCTTACATATTCAGCTGCCTTTCCACATGATTGGTATTGATAGTTGATGAAGAAGGTTCACAAATTTGTGAATAACCTAAACATGTTAAATACATCACTTAAATATTGTCTTAATCACTGTAGACAAACATTAACCAAATGGAAACCAAACATTTGACAGAACACAGTGATCAGAAGGGGCTATATTTGGAAATACATGTTACCATGGCCACCTGTAACTACTTTACCTGATCTGTGAATGAAAAGATGCTGTTGAAATCACTGTTTCCAACTTTCTTCTTCTTCTTCTGTTGCTTCACTGATGTTCCCTGTCAGGAAGGTAACATGTATTGCTCTTTTTATCCACTGAATTGTTAAACAGGATAATAATACGATTAACAAACATGACAAGAAGAATCTCTAGTTCACCATGATAACATACGAGGGAATGGAGAAGGTTACCGTGCACACTTTTTCGGATTTCAAATAGCGCAGTGTGGAGGATGGAACTCATGTTGCCAGCTTGAAGCTAAGCTAGGCTAATGAATCAGTCTAACTAGCTAGCACCCTACCACGGGACCACAGGCGCTATCACAAACAATTACCAGTATTGCTTGTATACCAAGTCAAATTAGCACATGATTGATTACCTATTTTCTCTGCTAAAGTCGAAACATGATACAAATTGTACAGAGTTTCTTCAAATTATATTGGATTAATTTGTTAAAAAAGATAGCTAGCCCATAGCCTACCTCCCAACTAACCCTAAGGATTGTATTAAGGGTTGTTTTACTGACAAGTGGGGCCCAACACTAATGATCGTGAAGGAGCTTTTGAAAGGAAAGGGGTACCTAACCCCAATGATAGTAAATGGATGCTTGATGGGAAAGGGGTACCAAGGGCTAAGGATAGAGTTGGGGGTCACCTACCCTAACACAACTAACGATAGGGATCAAAGAGCCACGCAAGATCAATGAAGGGGAAACGGTGAATTTGTAGCCACTTCCAACTCGTAGACACATTTTACGGTGAATTTCTATACAAACCAAGAGTGAATTCAAAGACACATTTTTTAAATTGGAACTGAATCATAATAATTACTAATAATTTGTATCCAAGTCTTTCACTTCTCTCAACAACAGTATTATGGACAAGAGCTTCATTCAGTAAGGGATGGGTGGAGTGGAATACTGTAGTATCGCAATGTCAGAAATAACATGAAAAAATGGCAGTAACTGATCGCTAACTTTGACGTGTACACTTTCAAGTGTATCCAGTCCAGAATGACATGTTGACATGTCTTAACTGTTCGAAAATAGGGTATGTGGAAATAGGAAGGCGGATGCATCGATGCACGTGCGACCCGCCAGTCATGACCTTGGGTGGATTGTGGTCCCTCTCGGCAGTAGATGATTTTACATAGCGCTTTAATTACTTTCGCGGAGGTCGCGGGTGACAGCACAGCCACGGTGATTGAATTAATTAGTATCAAGCGCTTCACTGAGTACTGCGGACCGCACCCGTCTTGCATACAAGAGACAGCAGAGCCGTCTGTGACTGATTATTATTTGTTTTCATAGGATAATGACATATGTTTTGATGCCGTACTGTTATTTTGTTTTCGAATATTTCACAGGTAAGTATATCCAAGCTGAAAGAACAATTTGGTGAATGGATTATGTTGATGTTGAGGAAATTAATAAACATGATAAAGTATCTATTTTCATTTAAAAATTAAGATTTGAAATACATCTGCTGCGTAATAATTCAACATTTATATATAATCAGTAATAAATCATTATTCATTTCTCTGTTGTATTTGTTTTGTCTACGAGTTCTCCGTGAATGTTGTCTACGAGTTAGGAGAGGGTACAAATTCTCCATGACAGTGAATTCACGTACAGCCCTATTAAGTGAGCGATGCGGTCATCAGCCTGGGCCAATTAGTGCTACAGTAGGCTGCGCCCAGTAAACTGCATTGTTACCACACACTATCGTGGTTGTACTTTTGCGTGTGTTGAAAGGACGTTCATCAGATTCTAATTTCTTTAAAACAAGGGCAACATCAGTTTGGGAGGTGATTTATTTTTTCAATAAAAATCGTATCCATGAGGATGTGTTTGTTATTATTATCTCTTATGTCTTTAAAGCAACGCTAAGAATTAGCAGTCCTGCAATCGGTAGCATAGCCCTATACACCATGTACACAATGGTGAGATGTAAGACAAGTGTCCACGAAACAATATTTCTTGTGCGAGCTGTGCGGAACGAATTCTTGCCGATAATGTTCTTCGTCAGACAATTTCCTTTTCTTTGCACAAAGTTCTAAGCGCGCAGTCAATTTAACTTGCTCCGTTTCTAAGAAAAAATGAAATCTACCCCAATATGGAACACCAGCATGATGTGGAACCATGCAGTATTTATCTCGAATAATCAGACACGTGCTTGTGTTTTGATTTGTGCGCAGCCTAAATTTTGACATGGACAAAGTGACTTTTGGTGTGCAGATAGATCCTGTTTTTTTAAGTACAGTTGATGTCGGCCTTTCCCCCTTTACCTCATCTTCGCTAGCTGAAGACTCTTGAGCTACATCGATATCTTCATCTTCTTCTATAGTTCCAATTAATCCCAACGCGTGTAAGTCGGCCATTTTCAATTATTTGTGTAAAGCTAATACTAAACATATTGTCGTATTTCTGTTGTAGCCACGTTCGTGTGGTAGCCTGTAATATTGACTTAGTATCACAGTACTGTAAACATTTATCTTTATTTTAGTATGAAAAAAGTGTTATATGAATTGTTTGAGGGTAAAAATAATATTTTAATAGGAAACAATATGCACCCGCTTTACTGGATAAGTTGTGGCGCGAGTTTGCATGTTCAGCATAAGGTATTTGCCAACTTTAGTCATATCAAGATCAAGAACCCAATTTAGCACAACATCACTAGCTATGGGTATTCATGGCCTGTCAAAACTTCTCGGAGACTGTGCTCCAAGCTCAATGAAGGAGAATGAGATAAAGAATTACTTTGGTGAGTGATAATAGCCTTCGAAATCGACCTTTTTTTGATTTAGGACACCGCGGTGTTGGTTTGTAAACAAACCGATATTTCGTGATAGTCATTCTGTAGCGGCCATACCATTTCCGAATCCCTAGATGGGATTAGCATGATCAGAACCATATACCTTCTAATGTGTGACGCCTTGGCGATATGACCAGACAGGTTACCCTGTCAGGTCTGCATGCTGACAAAATAAGGAACGATGTCATCTGTGATCGAGATGATTCCTTCTTGGCTTCTACATTTCCTTAAAGTCACAGTAGAAATAGAAAGGGTAACAAAGCAGTTGGAAAGACTTCCGCCCTTATCCCCCATCCAAAATATATATGCATTGCTGCTCAATTAATCATATATATTTTTGAGGGGGGATAGTGCATGGTGGAAGTTTTACCATGCAGCTTACTATAAGGGGTTCAGCTAACTATAAGGGGTGCAGCTTACTATAAGGGGTTCAGCTAACTATAAGGGGTGCAGCTTACTATAAGGGGTTCAGCTAACTATAAGGGGTGCAGCTTACTATAAGGAGTGCAGCTAACTATAGGGGTGCGGCAACAATGCAGTTTACCGGGCGCAGCCCGAGCTCTACCATCCGCTCAATTACCGCGCTATAGTGCCACCGCTGTCTCGTTATACCGTTACCGTGCCTCACGCTCTGGTGACTCTCGCTTCACGATCCAACACCCGTTTTCGGTCTTAGGGAAACTTACACATCTTTACAATCAAACACCCGTTCTCGGTCTTAGGGAAACTTACACAACTTTACGATCCAACACCCATTTTTCGGTCTTAGGGAAACTTGCACGTCTTTACGATCCAACACCCGTTTTCGGTCTTAGGGAAACTTACACATCTTTACGATCCAACACCCGTTTTCGGTCTTAGGGAAACTTACACGTCTTTACGATCCAAAACCCCTTTTCGGTCATTAGGGTCAGCTGGCTTTGGGCAAGGGTTAGCCATAAATTCTTACCTTTTCAAGCGTTAATCCAGTTAATCCCATTGGTCGGTCATGTTGACATAAACAATTGCGGGTGTGGTTTCAAGAAAAGATGAATGGGAGTGCAGTCAGGGACGTCACACGCATGCGCAATTCATTGTTTACTGAATTATGCATGCATGTCAATGGGAATTCTAATGACCTGTTAAACGAGCACTGATTACATGTGATAGCCCCTGTGGTCCAGTGGTAGAGCGTCGGCTAATTAACGCATTAATTAGCAGAGCCGGTGAGCCGGCGAAGCGCGTTCGAGCCCCCACAGCGCTAATTGGATCTGAAAAAGTGCGCCCGGTAAAGTGCACTACTCCCAGGGGTGCAGCTTACTATTTGGGGTGCAGCTAACTATAAGGGGTGCAGCTTACTATAAGGGGTGCAGCTTACTATAAGGGGTGCAGCTTACTATAAGGGGTGCAGCTTACTATAAAGGGGTGCAGCTTACTATAAAGGGGTGCAGCTTACTATAAGGGGTGCAGCTTACTATAAAGGGGTGCAGCTTACTATTAAGGGGTGCAGGCTTAAACTGCGCCTTGAGTGGAAACGGCTACAAATTGTTGGGCAAAAACGGCACCTCTATTTTTGATAATGATAAGATCGATTTATATAGTAGTATATATGCTTTATTTACATGCTTTATTATGTTATGTTGTAGTATACATGGTATATGCTTTGTTTACATTGTCATTGTCTTGTCTTCCACGGTTATGAATTCACAGTTTCATAATAATATAATGAATAATATATATTGTGTCATAATACGTAAAAACAGTTTCAACTTAACATTGAGTTAATTTGAGTAAAGGTACTTAAGACTTCCGAGCATGTGATGTTTTCACCAAACGTTTAGGTGTGCTGAGTTAAGTCGAGTAAACTGGAGTAGAGGCTAATTTCTAATGTAAACTTGTTTTAACATTTCACAGTTATTTGTGTTTGCAAGTGACCATATGAGTTTAATGTCATTATTTCAGTACCGAGGTGAAAGAAAAATAAGGTGCCGTTTTCACCAGGCAATAGTAGCTTTCACTCTAGTCGGATGCAGTTTTGCATTGTGCCGTTTTGCTGAGGTGCCGTTTTAGCTATAACTATAAGTATAGCTGTAATTGGCTCTGGGGCAACAATACAGTTTAACGGGCCCATTTTTACCCTCTCCCAACAGCTCAATTACAACACCATCTTGCTAAACCGTTACCGTGGCTCACTCTCGAATGCACTCACATTCGTCTCAAGGAGCTGACACGCCTTAGCGATCCAACACCCCTTTTCGATCAGGGGGAACTAACACGCCTTTCCGATGCAACACCAACACCCATGTTTTGTCCCTCGATTGGTTGTTCATTTTAATGGACAAGGGCAGGTGTGGCTTCCTCAAAAAGATGAATGGGGACGGGTGTGACGTTAGGAATATGCATAACTGCGTATGCGTGTTAATAAGGTGCAAGTGACCTGTTAAACACGCACTAATTACATGTGATGGGGCTCTTGGTCCAGTGGTAGAGAGTCGCCTATAAATGCACTAATTAGCGAAGCACGTTTGAGCCCCTACAGCGTTAATTGGATCTGAAAAAGTGCGCCCTTTTACGATCATTAGGGTTTGTCGTGAGGTAGGGTATTGGTTAGCTATCTCTTTCATCGTTTAACAAATTAATCCAATGTAATTTGAGGAAACTGTACAATTTTTCTTAAGTTTCGTGGAGAAAATGAAGGTGAACAATCAGCTGCTGATGACTCAATAAACAGGCACTAAGTATTTGTGATAGTGCCTCTGGTCCTGAACGTGCGTTCGGTCCTCCCCACAGTGCTAGTTAAAATCTGAAAAAGTGCAACTGGTAAAGTGCCCCGCTCCCATAGAAAGAAATTCAGGTAGTATCCTTCAGTTTTAGTTTTAACCAGATGAAAACAGTTACTTTTTGCTGACACAATGTTTTAGCCTGCACCCTGCGATCTCATAGCCTTAGTTGTATTCCTTTGATAAACTAGGCTATGTTTATTGCTATACTAATCGACCATCAACGGGCGTACTGGTCCTGTACAAGATATTTTAGCCAGCTGCTGCTGTCTATGTCTGAGTGTAAACGCGATACATCGACCTACCAATGAGCAAAACACTGCACAGAAATCGAATGGACGCTCCTATAGAATGATGAGGTGTAAAAACTCAAGGATATTCCTTAACATGCTTAATCAACATTAGACTTTAGTAGAACATTGTGAGGGCATGAATAATAACTATGCATTACCGTCTAGTGGACGTTGGATAAGGTAACAACCTTTCTGATTTTTTCAAGGTCGGAAAGTGGCAATTGACGCTTCTATGAGCATATACCAGTTCCTGATTGCAGTCCGATCTGATGGCTCACAGCTCATGAATGAAGAAGGGGAGACAACCAGGTAAATTTCTGTTTGATATTGAGGATGAAACACGATGTTTGTTATAAAAAATAATCATGTGTATCACTGGGTCAAATAAAACATTACCTGTAAAACAATGTTTTGTATTTTAAAATTATTGGGCCATGACACAAATTGCCCAGAAGTCATGGAAATGGAGGGTCATGTTTTCTAATGGGTGATTGGCAGCGGTCAAAGCACCCAATCAGTATAACTCCAGATAAGCTTTTAGTTATTTGGGTATAGTACCCAGGGGTTTGATTTTGATTTGGAATCCACAATTTTGGGAGGTATTCAAAATATTTTTTACCCACCTGTTTCTTGACATTTGGGTATTTTTACTTGAAAACCTGTTTCATAAGAATCCCCAGAGGTCATTCACCAATCAGAGCATGATGTGCTTTTCAGTTGGAATCTACACAATAATTTCATCTGACAGTTTTAATATGTATATGCAATCTTTTTATCTACTACTCAGTAGAGTGTTTATAGTTTTTGTTGCATATTTGATACACTAGTTTTGATTTGTCTGGTTTTTTAACAGTTTTTTTAATGCATATTTTACGCAAATACACAGCTTATCTAGAGCTGTGCAGATGTTCAGGCTTTGAAGACTAGTAGACTGCATGCCTTCATACCTTGAGGCCTTGGGTTGCTGCCAATAATATCAATGACTGGTTTGTCTGTCAATGACTTGATTATTTCCAGTCTGCTGTGATGTAGCTGGAATGGTGCAGTCTACAGTGTTCAGTGACAAACTAAATAGTGTTGGAAGCAATGCTGATATGTCTTTATTGTGTTCTCTTGATTGGCTGTCTGTATTGTCAAGATATTGAATGTCAAAACAGTTGATTTAATACATGTCAAGCTGAGTCTCCACTGTTTTCCAGTCACTTGATGGGGATGTTCTACAGGACAATCAGAATGGTTGAGAACGGAATCAAGCCGGTGTATGTGTTTGATGGGAAGCCACCGGAGATGAAGTCAGGAGAGGTGGGTTCAGTGATGTGAGGGGAGGGGAGGGGACTGCATCTGTATGCAGTGATGTTAGGCTGGCCTTGCATCAGTGTGACGTTTTTGTGAGACCAGAATTGATCATGTTGATGATATTCTTAATCCATGGATTTCAAGTAAGCATCAACAAGGGTTATTGTCTATAACATGTAATTGATGAGAATATCAACAGATCTTTGGATTTGTGTAAGAAATAATTCATCATTACCAGTAATCACAACCACAAGAAATTGTTTTATGACTTTGATCGTTGAGAAGTTGCTACCTTATCAGCTTTATAGATATACTAAAAGCTGAAAGAACTTTGGGAATTCCTGAAATGTATATTTTGAATTTTATTCAAAAACAAAATTGAATTTCTACATGTTCCAAAAAAATATGTTCATTATTGTTACTCCTAGTACAGAGCTTGTTGAGTCCTAGTTATACACATTGCTTTCTAGTTTAAGCATGTTTGGATGATAAATACCATGGACACAGGGGTCCGGAAAATTTAAAATCCCAATCGGACATTTTCATTTAGGCCATCCCCCCATCAAATAGAGTATTTTCGTACGACTTTTCACACACATTACAAGTTGTTATGTACAGTGGTACCTCGTTATTGCGTGCTTCGGTTATAGCGCGGTAGAGCATGCTTCCCAAAATTTACTAACATTTTTAGTAAACTCAAGTTTTCCAATGACACGATGTTTTCCCCCATCTCAGAAAACATTATCAGCTGATCACCACGATCACGTAACACCGGAAATACCAGTTATTATATTTCATTCAATAATTGTAATAATGTTTACAATAATTTCGGCGAAATCTTATGCGAAGTGATCGGTAGATCGCACAACTCACCATTATTTACAGCAACCACGGTCAGATTACCACTATTGACGCCTTGAAATGAACTTTAGTTGCAAGAGAATGGATACACACATCATAAATGCAGTACCATGACTTGCTAAAAGTCATATTTGAGGCAGTTTGACTATAAAATGTCAACATAACGTTTTCACAATCGAAATACATGTAGCGAGGGAAGTCCCTACGGTGACTGGTAAAAATTGTTCCATACGTCAAAAAACATCCTGCATACCATCTGTACGAAAGTGCTACGCTTATGGTTCTTAAAATTTTAAGTATATATGGTGGAAGCTGCAACTAAAATAACAAGATATTGGAATATATTTTTCCTGATGAAATAATAATTTCAGATACAATTTCTTCCCACCATTGCATCAAAATTCTTTGAAGTTGTATCATTAGGTACGTTTTAACTGAATCACCTGTACAGCTGATTGCTATTTCCGGCTTAGTTAACGAGAAAATACACACGATAATCTTCATCTCTGCATATAAAACAATGCCTTTGAGAGCAGGAAATACTTTTTAAATGGTAAAATAATCATGTCTAGTGAGGGGCCGTCGGGGGACCTAGTGGTTAAAGCGTTCGCTCGTCACGCCGAAGACCCGGGTTCGATTCCCGACATGGGTACAATGTGTGAAGCCTATTTCTGGTGTCCCCTGCTGTGATATTGCTGGAATATTGCTAAAAGCGGCGTAAAACCATACTCACTCACTCACTCACTCATGTCTAGTGATGTTTTATATCATATTTCATACTTTTATTGACCAAGTTTGTTATACCTGTTTATTGACCTGAAGTCGTTGAAGGGATACGATTAAAATTATCAATTTCATCAATTATTTGGACCCCGAAGGTAGCGTTTGTTTTTTAAAATGTCTTGACAGAAAAATTTAAATGTCCGGTAAGTAATATTTTAAAGCATATGACCGTTTCCGGACCCCTGCATGGACATATTGGTGCTTATGAAGCACTAGGTGTAGAAGTATGTCTATCGTTTCCATTGTTACAGTTGTCCAAGAGAGCCGAGAGGAGGGAGGAGGCACAGAAGGGGCTGGAGAAAGCTGAGGAAGCTGGTCAGTTCAATGTCTCACACTCACTCCGGGCAGAAGGCCCCATGCTTGTCTACCAATGGGAATTCTGGGTTAGAATGGGCCCCAGTACCTCATGCTGGTCTCTCGTAGGGTTCCAGGACAGTATAGGTCCCACATACTTCATGCTTTCACATTTGTGAAGATCAGGGTTAGAATTAGTCTTCAACAACCTCTACTTGTCGTTAGAGGCGACTATGTTTGTCATAAGGGGCGACTATGAGTGTCGTAAGAGGCAACTATGCTTTTCGTAAGAGGCGACTATGTTTGTTGTAAGAGGCAACTATGCTTGTCGTAAGAGGCGACTATGCTTGTTGTAAGAGGTGACTATGCTTGTTGTAAGAGGCGACTGCGTGTCGTAAGAGGCGACTGCGTGTCGTAAGAGGCGACTATGCGTGTCGTAAGAGGCGACTATGCTTGTCCTAAGAGGCGACTATGTTTGTCATGAGAGGCGACTATGCTTGATGTAAGAGGCGACTATGCTTGTCGTAAGAGGCGACTATGCTTGTCGTAAGAGGCGACTATGTTTGTTGTAAGAGGTGACTATGCTTGTTGTAAGAGGCGACTATGCGTGTCGTAAGAGGCGACTATGCTTGATGTAAGAGGCGACTATGCGTGTCGTAAGAGGCAACTATGCTTGTCGTAAGAGGCAACTATGTTTGTTGTAAGACTAATGGGATTGGGTGGTCCTTTGAACCCTCTTCATTCTGTCATGACTCTACCGTGACATCAATATATTAGTTTGAAAAAACAGAACAAGAGATGGTCAAGTAATAAAAAATCCCTGTATTGTCTCAATTTGTGGACCGCTGAAGATCCTGGTTAGAATTGGTCTTCAGCAACCAAAGAGGTGACTAAGAGGATCGAATTCTCTGGCTTGCTTACATCCATGTCATCATATCCAAATTGCGTAGATCGATGCTCAAGATTTCAATTACTGGATTGTCTGGTCGAGACTTGCATATTTACAGCTAGAATATTGCTGAACTGTAGGTATCCAGGACCCCATACTGATTGTTAGAAAGGCTGCTGACAAAGTGTGACATGGCTGGTTGCCTGTCATTTGTGGAGATGCAATGGATGCAGTGTTTGAGAGTCATGTGGCCCTAATGTTGAAGCTGATTTAGGGGATCCGAGTTTCAAATACGTGATCAGCAAACATCAAGGACCATGGGACTTCCCTCACTGGCAGCAACAAGGACTTGGACTTCCCTTTACTGGTAGCACCTAGCACTGGGACTTCCCTTCACTGGTAGGACTGAGCACTTAGACTTCCCTCTACTGGTAGCACCTAGCACTGGGACTTCCCTTCACTGGTAGGACTGAGCACTTGGACTTCCCTCACTGGCAGCACCAAGCACTGGGACTTCCCTTTACTGGTAGCACCAAGCACTGGGACTTCCCTTCACTGGCAACACCAAGGACTGGGACTTCCCTTCACTGGCAGCACCAAGGACTGGGAGTTCCCTTCACTGGCAACACCAAGGACCATGGGACTTCCCTTCACTGGCAGCACCAAGGACTGGGACTTCCCTCACTGGCAGCACCAAGGACTGGGACTTCCCTTCACTGGCAACACCAAGGACCATGGGACTTCCCTTTACTGGTAGCACCAAGGACTGGGACTTCCCTTCACTGGCAACACCAAGGACCATGGGACTTCCCTTTACTGGTAGCACCTAGCACTGGGACTTCCCTTCACTGGTAGGACTGAGCACTTAGACTTCCCTCTACTGGTAGCACCTAGCACTGGGACTTCCCTTCACTGGTAGGACTGAGCACTTGGACTTCCCTCACTGGCAGCACCAAGCACTGGGACTTCCCTTTACTGGTAGCACCAAGCACTGGGACTTCCCTTCACTGGCAACACCAAGGACTGGGACTTCCCTTCACTGGCAGCACCAAGGACTGGGAGTTCCCTTCACTGGCAACACCAAGGACCATGGGACTTCCCTTCACTGGCAGCACCAAGGACTGGGACTTCCCTCACTGGCAGCACCAAGGACTGGGACTTCCCTTCACTGGCAACACCAAGGACCATGGGACTTCCCTTTACTGGTAGCACCAAGGACTGGGACTTCCCTTCACTGGCAACACCAAGGACCATGGGACTTCCCTTTACTGGTAGCACCAAGGACTGGGACTTCCCTTCACTGGCAACACCAAGGACAATGGGACTTTCCTTCACTGGCAGCACCAAGGACTTGGACTTCCCTTCACTGGCAGCACCAAGGACCATGGGACTTCCCTTCACAGGCAGCACCAAGGACTGGGACTTCCCTTCACTGGTAGCACCAAGCACTGGGACTTCCCTCACTGGCAGCACCAAGGACTGGGACTTCCCTTCACTGGTAGGACTGAGCACTTGGACTTCCCTCTACTGGTAGCATCAAGGACTGGGACTTCCCTTCACTGGCAGCACCAAGGACCATGGGACTTCCCTCACTGGCAGCACCAAGGACTGGGACTTCCCTTCACTGGCAGCACCAAGGACTGGGACTTCCCTTTACTGGTAGCACCAAGGACTGGGACTTCCCTTCACTGGCAACACCAAGGACTGGGTCTTTCCCTTCACTGGCAGCACCAAGGACTGGGACTTCCCTTCACTGGCAACACCAAGGACCATGGGACTTCCCTTCACTGGCAGCACCAAGGACTGGGACTTCCCTTCACTGGCAGCACCAAGGACCATGGGACTTCCCTTCACTGGCAGCACCAAGGACTGGGACTTCCCTCACTGGCAGCACCAAGGACTGGGACTTCCCTTCACTGGCAACACCAAGGACCATGGGACTTCCCTTTACTGGTAGCACAAAGGACTGGGACTTCCCTTCACTGGCAGCACCAAGGACTGGGACTTCCCTTCACTGGCAGCACCAAGCACTGGGACTTCCCTTCACTGGTAGCACCAAGGACTGGGACTTCCCTTCACTGGCAGCACCAAGCACTGGGACTTCCCTTCACTGGTAGCACCAAGCACTGGGACTTCCCTTCACTGGTAGCACCAAGCACTGGGACTTCCCTTCACTGGTAGCACCAAGGAATGGGACTTCCCTTCACTGGTAGCACCAAGGAATGGGACTTCCCTTCACTGGTAGCACCAAGGAATGGGACTTCCCTTCACTGGTAGCACCAAGAACTGGGACTTCCCTTCACTGGCAGCACCAAGCACTAGGACTTCCCTTCACTGGTAGCACCAAGGACTGAGACTTCCCTTCACTGGTAGCACCAAGGACTGGGACTTCCCTCTCTGGTAGCACCAAGGACTGGGACTTCCCTTCACTGGCAGCACCAAGGACTGGGACTTTCCTTCTCTGGTAGCACCAAGCACTGGGACTTCCCTTCACTGGTAGCACCAAGCACTGGGACTTCCCTTCACTGGTAGCACCAAGGACTGGAACTTCCCTCTCTGGTAGCACCAAGCACTGGGACTTCCCTTCACTGGTAGCACCAAGGAATGGGACTTCCCTTCACTGGTAGCACCAAGAACTGGGACTTCCCTTCACTGGCAGCACCAAGGAATGGGACTTCTCTTCACTGGTAGCACCAAGCACTGGGACTTCCCTTCACTGGTAGCACCAAGGACTGGGACTTCCCTTCACTGGTAGCACCAAGGACTGGAACTTCCCTCTCTGGTAGCACCAAGCACTGGGACTTCCCTTCACTGGTAGCACCAAGGAATGGGACTTCCCTTCACTGGTAGTACCAAGCACTGGGACTTCCCTTCACTGGTAGCACCAAGGAATGGGACTTCCCTTCACTGGTAGCACCAAGCACTGGGACTTCCCTTCACTGGTAGCACCAAGAACTGGGACTTCCCTTCACTGGCAGCACCAAGGAATGGGACTTCCCTTCACTGGTAGCACCAAGCACTAGGACTTCCCTTCACTGGTAACACCAAGGACTGGGACTTCCCTTCACTGGTAGCACCAAGGACTGGGACTTCCCTCTCTGGTAGCACCAAGGACTGGGACTTCCCTTCACTGGCAGCACCAAGGACTGGGACTTCCCTCTCTGGTAGCACCAAGCACTGGGTCTTCCCTTCACTGGTAGCACCAAGCACTGGGACTTCCCTTCACTGGTAGCACCAAGGACTGGAACTTCCCTCTCTGGTAGCACCAAGGAATGGGACTTCCCTTCACTGGTAGCACCAAGCACTTGGACTTCCCTTCACTGGTAACACCAAGCACTGGGACTTCCCTTCACTGGTAGCACCAAGGAATGGGACTTCCCTTCACTGGTAGTACCAAGCACTTGGACTTCCCTTCACTGGTAGCACCAAGCACTTGGACTTCCCTTCACTGGTAGCATCAAGGACTGGGACTTCCCTTCACTGGCAGCACCAAGGACCATGGGACTTCCCTCACTGGCAGCACCAAGGACTGGGACTTCCCTTCACTGGCAGCACCAAGGACTGGGACTTCCCTTTACTGGTAGCACCAAGGACTGGGACTTCCCTTCACTGGCAACACCAAGGACTGGGTCTTTCCCTTCACTGGCAGCACCAAGGACTGGGACTTCCCTTCACTGGCAGCTCCAAGGACTAGGACTTCCCTTCACTGGCAGCACCAAGGACCATGGGACTTCCCTTCACTGGCAGCACCAAGGACTGGGACTTCCCTCACTGGCAGCACCAAGGACTGGGACTTCCCTTCACTGGCAACACCAAGGACCATGGGACTTCCCTTTACTGGTAGCACCAAGGACTGGGACTTCCCTTCACTGGCAACACCAAGGACCATGGGACTTCCCTTTACTGGTAGCACCAAGGACTGGGACTTCCCTTCACTGGCAGCACCAAGGACTGGGACTTCCCTTCACTGGCAGCACCAAGCACTGGGACTTCCCTTCACTGGTAGCACCAAGGACTGGGACTTCCCTTCACTGGCAGCACCAAGCACTGGGACTTCCCTTCACTGGTAGCACCAAGGACTGGAACTTCCCTCTCTGGTAGCACCAAGCACTGGGACTTCCCTTCACTGGTAGCACCAAGGAATGGGACTTCCCTTCACTGGTAGCACCAAGGAATGGGACTTCCCTTCACTGGTAGCACCAAGGAATGGGACTTCCCTTCACTGGTAGCACCAAGAACTGGGACTTCCCTTCACTGGCAGCACCAAGGAATGGGACTTCCCTTCACTGGTAGCACCAAGCACTAGGACTTCCCTTCACTGATAGCACCAAGGACTGGGACTTCCCTTCACTGGTAGCACCAAGGACTGGGACTTCCCTCTCTGGTAGCACCAAGGACTGGGACTTCCCTTCACTGGCAGCACCAAGGACTGGGACTTCCCTCTCTGGTAGCACCAAGCACTGGGACTTCCCTTCACTGGTAGCACCAAGCACTGGGACTTCCCTTCACTGGTAGCACCAAGGACTGGAACTTCCCTCTCTGGTAGCACCAAGCACTGGGACTTCCCTTCACTGGTAGCACCAAGGAATGGGACTTCCCTTCACTGGTAGCACCAAGAACTGGGACTTCCCTTCACTGGCAGCACCAAGGAATGGGACTTCTCTTCACTGGTAGCACCAAGCACTGGGACTTCCCTTCACTGGTAGCACCAAGGACTGGGACTTCCCTTCACTGGTAGCACCAAGGACTGGAACTTCCCTCTCTGGTAGCACCAAGCACTGGGACTTCCCTTCACTGGTAGCACCAAGGAATGGGACTTCCCTTCACTGGTAGTACCAAGCACTGGGACTTCCCTTCACTGGTAGCACCAAGGAATGGGACTTCCCTTCACTGGTAGCACCAAGCACTGGGACTTCCCTTCACTGGTAGCACCAAGAACTGGGACTTCCCTTCACTGGCAGCACCAAGGAATGGGACTTCCCTTCACTGGTAGCACCAAGCACTAGGACTTCCCTTCACTGGTAACACCAAGGACTGGGACTTCCCTTCACTGGTAGCACCAAGGACTGGGACTTCCCTCTCTGGTAGCACCAAGGACTGGGACTTCCCTTCACTGGCAGCACCAAGGACTGGGACTTCCCTCTCTGGTAGCACCAAGCACTGGGTCTTCCCTTCACTGGTAGCACCAAGCACTGGGACTTCCCTTCACTGGTAGCACCAAGGACTGGAACTTCCCTCTCTGGTAGCACCAAGGAATGGGACTTCCCTTCACTGGTAGCACCAAGCACTTGGACTTCCCTTCACTGGTAACACCAAGCACTGGGACTTCCCTTCACTGGTAGCACCAAGGAATGGGACTTCCCTTCACTAGTAGTACCAAGCACTTGGACTTCCCTTCACTGGTAGCACCAAGCACTGGGACTTCCCTTCACTGGTAGCACCAAGGACTGGGACTTCCCTTCACTGGTAGCACCAAGGACTGGGACTTCCCTCTCTGGTAGCACCAAGGACTGGGACTTCCCTTCACTGGCAGCACCAAGGACTGGGACTTCCCTCTCTGGTAGCACCAAGCACTGGGACTTCCCTTCACTGGTAGCACCAAGGACTGGGACTTCCCTTCACTGGTAGCACCAAGGACTGGAACTTCCCTCTCTGGTAGCACCAAGCACTGGGACTTCCCTTCACTGGTAGCACCAAGGACTGGAACTCCCCTCTCTGGTAGCACCAAGCACTGGGACTTCCCTTCACTGGTAGCACCAAGGAATGGGACTTCCCTTTACTGGTAGCACCAAGCACTTGGACTTCCCTTCACTGGTAGCACCAAGCACTTGGACTTCCCTTCACTGGTAGCACCAAGGACTGGGACTTCCCTTCACTGGCAGCACCAAGGAATGGGACTTCCCTTCACTGGTAGCACCAAGCACTGGGACTTCCCTTCACTGGTAGCACCAAGAACTGGGACTTCCCTTCACTGGTAGCACCAAGCACTAGGACTTCCCTTCACTGGTAGCACCAAGGACTGGGACTTCCCTTCACTGGTAGCACCAAGGACTGGGACTTCCCTCTCTGGCAGCACCAAGGACTGGGACTTCCCTATCTGGTAGCACCAAGCACTGGGACTTCCCTTCACTGGTAGCACCAAGCACTGGGACTTCCCTTCACTGGCAGCACCAAGGACTGGAACTTCCCTCTCTGGTAGCACCAAGCACTTGGACTTCCCTTCACTGGTAGCACCAAGGAATGGGACTTCCCTTCACTGGTAGCACCAAGCACTTGGACTTCCCTTCACTGGTAGCACCAAGCACTTGGACTTCCCTTCACTGGTAGCACCAAGGACTGGGACTTCCCTTCACTGGTAGCACCAAGGACTGGGACTTCCCTCTCTGGTAGCACCAAGGACTGGGACTTCCCTTCACTGGCAGCACCAAGGACTGGGACTTCCCTCTCTGGTAGCACCAAGCACTGGGACTTCCCTTCACTGGTAGCACCATGGACTGGGACTTCCCTTCACTGGTAGCACCAAGGACTGGAACTTCCCTCTCTGGTAGCACCAAGCACTGGGACTTCCCTTCACTGGTAGCACCAAGGAATGGGACTTCCCTTCACTGGTAGTACCAAGGACTGGGACTTCCCTTCACTGGTAGCACCAAGCACTGGGACTTCCCTTCACTGGTAGTACCAAGCACTGGGACTTCCCTTCACTGGTAGCACCAAGGACTGGGACTTCCCTTCACTGGTAGCACCAAGGACTGGGACTTCCCTTCACTGGTAGTTCCAAGCACTGGGACTTCCCTTCACTGGTAGCACCAAGCACTGGGACTTCCCTTCACTGGTAGTACCAAGCACTGGGACTTCCCTTCACTGGTAGCACCAAGGACTGGGACTTCCCTTCACTGGTAGCACCAAGCACTGGGACTTCCCTTCACTGGCAGCAGTATTCTGATGGGTGAGGTGACTGGCTTGTCAGCAGTATTCTGATGGGTGAGGTGACTGGCTTGTCAGCAGTATTCTGATGGGTGAGGTGACTGGCTTGTCAGCAGTATTCTGATGGGTGAGGTGACTGGCTTGTCAGCAGTCAGAGCATGTATACATTCTGGACATAGAGGCTTAGTGAAAGTACCACATGGGATTGAAACAATGTGTATTATAAGACTGTTTAGTTCACTAGGCTTGGAATTGGCTAAATATGCTTGTGTGGATTGTCTCCTTGCAGCTTACAATCCAAGTCTGGTTTGTTAAATGTAGGATAAGTTATCTTAGTTTCAAGTTTGTTTTTCACTGAACTTGCAGGTGATGATGAAAACATTGATAAGTTCAACCGTCGCCTGGTGAAAGTCACTAAACAACACAATGAAGACTGTAAACAGCTCCTCAAGCTGATGGGCATTCCGTATGTTGAGGTGGGTATGCAGACAGATCTGCTTCTGTGTCTTTACCTAGTTTTACCTACTATTTATTTTTTAAGTTTGAATCAGTATATATTAAAATACAAGAAATGTAGAGCCAGCTGTCAGGGAATTTATTTTATTCTATTATTATATTGAATTACACATGTTGTATGCTCCCATCTCCTCCCCCCCGTCTGTATCTGTGTCCCCATGTATGCACCTGTCTGCTGTATCCCCCAGGCTCCGTGCGAGGCAGAGGCTCAGTGTGCCGCCCTGGCCAGAGCTGGGAAAGTGTTCGCGGCAGGGACAGAGGACATGGATGCCTTGACATTTGGATCTAAAGTTTTGCTGAGACATCTCACGTTCAGTGAAGCAAGGTCAGTGCCTCTCTTTGGAGATGTTTATGATGACAGAGCTGTGGATTAAAGTGCGACCTGTATATGTACTTCTATGTCCCTGAAACCATAGCTGTTGTGATCTGAATCTTATTCTTTGCAAATGAGGTGATAATTTTATGATGAAATTTATGTAACTGTATGTAATACACAGATTGGTGGTTCAGCCATGTTGTTAGCAAGGAGGCAGCCATTGCAGTTATGATGTCACAACTGACACTATTCGTATACAACTGGTATGAGTTGTATTATAGACGTCAGTTTGACCTCACACATAATATCATTACAAAAAATATTGATTCAATACTCCCTTTCAGGAAACTGCCAATCAAAGAAATTCATTTAGATAGAGTGTTAGAAGAACTGAGTCTGTCTCAAGATGAGGTGAGTGTTTGTATTTCTCATGACAGGGTGATGGTTAGCCCAGTGTAAGTGCACAGTAATTAAACCCCCGACAAAATGTCGGGGGTATATAGTTATACATTGTACCAAGATTCCGTCCGTTAGTCCGTATGTCCATCTGTCCGTCCATCTGTCCGAAAACTTTGTCCTCGTGATTTCTCTTAAACTGTTCAGTGGATTCATCTCAAACTTAGTACATATAATCTGTGTCATATGGAGGGGTGCAGTCAAAAGAAAAACAATGTTTTGATTAATTTTCCATTTTTTTATGAAATTTTCAAACCCTAGGCTAACCCTATCCTAGCTATTTAATTTGTAACTACTGACACACTAGGCGGGTCGGGGGTATTAGTGAGCCACGCTCACTTTTGCACTTGTTACTCCTAATTTCCTTCTATTGAGGGGTTGTCAAATCTTCACACAGAGAGGTATCAGATTCAAAGGTCTGATTTGCAACCAAGTTTGGAATCCTGGATAAACCTCTGACATCATGTAGCTACTATTGGATTTTGTATGACCTGCATCACTTTGGACTTTCCTCCTGATGAAACTGACGTGATCAGATACCTGACATGCTTGTCATAACAGTTAAAACCCAGCTTTCTTATTTCATTGCAGTGATCATGTTGATCGTTATATATGTTTGTCGATTAACACCGCACTCAGCAATATTCCAGCTATGTGACGGCAGTGTGTAAATAATCAAGCCTGGACCAGACAATCCAGTGATTGACATGAGCATAGATCTACGCATTTGGGATACGATGACATGCATCAACCAAGTCAGCCAGTCTGACCACCTGATCCCGTTAGTTGCATCTTATGACAAACAGGGGTTACAGAAGACCAATTCTAACAACATCTTATTGCTTTATATATATGTTTTGTCAAATACTTTGGAAGAATTAATATATTTCACCTTTTCTCCAACCCAATATGCACCCCCTCAGCATCATTCTTCACAAAGCCTTTATGAAACTCCTATCTTTCCAATAGTCTGGTAACTGTGGTAATATAGACATTCTGTGTTTCAGTTTATTGACCTGTGTATTTTGCTGGGATGTGATTACTGCGACTCTATCCGAGGTATTGGCCCAAAGCGGGCCATTGAGCTGATCAAACAGCACAGATCCATAGAAACCATCCTAGACCATCTTGATAAGAAGGTAAACTTTCTTAATGTACTCTCTATGTACAGCAAGCTCAAGGGCATGTCTGGCCCAGTGAGTGAGTGGTCTTAGTATCTGTGCAGAGTTGGGTACCTTTCTCTTGCCAGGATCAATTGGACCTTGGTTCTAAATCCAAATTTGCCTGACTGTGATTCTTAGTGTGTCAGCATCATAAGTGTCCTTGTTGGCTGTTATGGTTACATAGACTGAAATTGGTAGGAGTTTAGCATGGACACAATACTAATGATCCCCTGCTATTAAGTGGGGTCGGCCATATAGGATCAAAGGCGATATAGGAGTTCATCCGTCCTTCCTTCAGTCCGTCCTTCCGCTGCTCAAAGGGCACAAATTTTCTCAGACTATTGAAGTCAGAGAAATGAAATTTTACACACTGATGTTACTGGTCATGATCTCAAATGAGTTTGAAAATTAGTGTTATGGCCCTTGCTCCATGCTTTTCAACTTAGTACATAATGCGTGAAATGGGGACAAGCTTTCTCAGAAACTACATACGTTACATAAATGAAAGTTTGCATGCTTATTGAAGAGATACTTGTCAAGACTTTCGAAAATTGGTGCCATCAATTTTATTTGAGTTATGGCCCTTGATCCATGTTATTTTTACTTGGTGCATATTGCGTATTATGTTTTCTCAGAAACTACCGGTACTGAAGTTAGCTTATCTAAGAGATACTTATCGAGCCTGGATAATTTTTTACAGAGAAGGGGCCTTTTATGTGTATTAATTTCACATTTAATCATTCTTTCTGATGAGATTAAAGGGCCCAAGTACCTATCTCTTCTTGAGGCTTTATGGGACTTTTTTAGTTTATATTCACTACTATATAAACAAACAAAATTCTAATGTACCCCATGGTGGGGGATAGTGATAACGCTGTTTTCTTGTATTTTTTTACTTATCTTTTTTTTTATCAAATGCTATAACTAACAACAAATGTATCTTTGAATCGTGCGCTGATTCCTTTTGGTGCTACAGGGACATACATGTGTCAGCCGGCAACGTGGAACAGCAGGCAGTGAACACATACCAGCAGAACTAGTCTAGTTGGTCAACTTCCTGTAGGATTATCATGGTTGTCTCCCTTTGATTATGGCCTTTGAAAACTTCCTATGCTTCTATAGTTTTTATACTGATGGATGTGTTTTTGTTACTGTATTCATGGTAACAAGAGCAGTGGGTGCTAAGAAAATTGACCAAGGGGGGTACATATTAAAACTATACAAAAGTTAAAAATTTATTTTCAGAGATTACTCGGTTGTGAATAAACTTAATCGGTGAAACAAAAACGATTTTGATATATATCCTTCCTGGCAAGTTGTTTTACTGTAAAAGATCTGTCATATCAACACAAGAAAATACAGACTGTCATGTAAAATTCCAGTCTTAATAGGTGTGCTCATATAAATTACTTACAGACTGCTTTACAGGTGGGTCGGGGAGGACTTCTTGCTAGTTTGTTGAAAGAATTACTCTAGAGCTCGTACATGAAGAGTCGACATTTATTAATAACTTTGTAGCTGTAAGTGTCATGCTTTGTTTGTTTCAGAAGTATACTATCCCGGAAAACTGGATGTATAAGGTATGCCTTGGTAAAATAATCTTTCATAACATAAACAGTGATGAAGGTTGCTCTGAAAACGTTATCCTACCACATGAAGACGAGCGAAATCTTTCCATTTCATTTCTTTCATTTGTCTGTTAGTGCTCAACAAGTTCTCAGTTGTTGTGCGAGTTGTGTGATCCAGTGGCCAAAATGACAGCGAAGTACGGATGTAGTAGTTCTGTGGCAGACTTAGTCCTAATGCTAATAGAAAGAAGGAAAATGGGGATAAGATGTAAGACCTGGCTCATTGTGCTACAGCATGGATTGTTGCTCATGCTATCAGCCACTGGCTTGTCTGACCCAGACTCAAATCATTTGCAGCCCACTATGGGAATCTTCTGGCTAAAGAAAGTTCACTTACTCATTTGCTCAGACAGATTGATGACGAGGTGATACATTTGTCAGCCGGTACCCTAACGGAAACAAGTCAAACGACAAGCATAGTCACCTTTTACAGCAAGTATGGGTTGCTGAAGACCTATTCTACCCCTGATCTTCAAGGGTCGAGTTATGTGTGGCATCATTTCTTTAGCTTAGTGGAAGTGTGCAGTGCAGACCCATGCTTGCTGTAAAAGGCGACTATGCTTGTTGTAAGAAGCGATTAACGGGATTGGGTGGTCAGGCTCGCTGACTTGGTTGGTGCATGTCTTCGTATCCTGCTTGCGATTATTTACAGACCGCGGTCATATAGCTGGAATATTGCTGAGTGCAGTGTTTAACAACAAACAAATTAACAATAACATCTTGTGAAGTCTGTAGCTCAGTTCATCATGTTCCTTCATACAACTGACATGTACATATAGCATTGAGAACACAATTGTTGTGGGTGTGTTCCAGGAGGCGAGGGTGCTGTTTCAGGAGCCAGAAATCACAGATCCAGAGACACTGGATGTAGGTTGTCATTCTGCTTTTCCTCAATCGCTGCCACTACACAAAGACCTGAAGATATCCCAGTATATGATATGATATGACTGACAGGATATCGGCATTAGCCAATCAGAAAGCAGCTTTCTCTAGCTTTACGGCACTAGTTTCAAACTGACATCTGTGCTTTTGAAAAATATTTGGCAAAGTTCCTGATTCAGAATATGAAAACTGAACAAAAGAAAATTATGGAATGTCTAATAGATGTCTGAGATTGTCGGCCAGTACGCCCCCTGGACTCTTGAGAGTTTCATCCGTTTCAAATGTTTATCCCATTGAATTGAGAGATAGATGAAGATTTTGATAGCATCAGTTGTACTACAGTAACTGTCATTCGGTATGCCTTGTGTTAGCCTTTTCAAGGTTGCACAAATAGAAAACACATTCAGACTTTCACTTTTGTGATCTTGTAAGCAACGCTCTGATGGAGGTCGTCCTGACGTCATCTGTAATGAGATGTCTCCACATCTGTGTGTAGCGGTAGTGAGCACTAAGACTAGATTTGACTTTTCCTTCATTAGGATTATGTCAATTCTTTAGACGTTAATAATTGTTCAGATTAAATGGATTTCAAACACATTGGTTGGCAGATCATTATATTAGTTTAAGTCCATTTGACAGTTTCTGTAATATATTGATAAACTAACAAAAATGGTGAATTGCAGCAGACATGATCAGTACCAAACAATGGTTTACATGAATTTCATAAAACATTGTAAAATGAGATCGTTTTAAAGTACTGTATTTGACGTAATAAGCGCCCCACTCTAATAAACGCCCACGGCTATATTTGCTAATATATTGGCTAGTGAACAATCCCAATTAGCACCCCCTTCTGATTGATTAATGTACACAAGACTTATTTATTCGCGTATAATACGCACTCGTTATATGCACACTTAATTATGGGCAATTAAATTCGGGAAAAATATATCTGTCGTACATAAACATTTCAGGCTGTCAGCATAAACCACGAAATTTATCTTTCAACTCAACTTTTTTTTCACCAAAATAATATTCTAATTTTGAGAGCGCCCTGGGCGCTTATTACGTCGAATACGGTAATTGAAAAGTGTGTGAACTGAATTAAAACATGTTTTTCTGATGCTGACATTAAGCATCATAGTAGCTGCAGCAGTCATTTTATTGGGGCACTGATAGATGGAGTATAGTTGAAAGTGATAAGTTTCCTGTTTCAGCTGAAATGGTGTGAGCCAGATGAAGAGGCCCTGCTGGACTACATGGTGACCCAGAAGGGTTTCAGGTAGGAGAACCCTTGTACAGTGGAACCCTGTCAGTCCAAACCCTGTCAATCAAGGTATCCATCCATATGAAGGAAACTTCTTTGTTTTGAGGAACACAACGTTTCAGAGTATATGCTTACTCCTGCACCACCTGATGAAGGAGTAAGTATGTACTCGAAACATTGTGTTCTCATAATAAAGAAGTTGACATCCATAAATTCTCTTCCTCCTGTGTATCACTTCTCAATGCCTTTCAAAGAAATCATTTGAAGAATATTACTACATGCTCGACCCGTAAAGATCCGGGGTAGAATAGGTTTTCAGCAACACATGCTTGCTATAAAAGGCGACTATGCTTGTCCTAAGAGGCGACTAACAGGATCAGGACTTGGTTGAATTATGTGGATCGATGCTCATGAAGTCAATCACTGGATTGTCTGGTCCAGACTCGATTATTTACAGACTGCCATCATATAGCTTGAATATTGCTAAGTGCGTCGTTAAACAACAAACAAACAAAACATGTTTAGGACTCCGGACAATTCAGCTAGGAATGGCATTGTACAGACAAACAGGGTTCCACTAGAGTCTATGATACTACTTCTTGGATTAAGGTTCGCGCAGTCTTGAAAAAGCTTTGAATTTTCAGGTGCCACTTGAAAAGTCTTATCTTTAGCTGTTAACCTTGAACAGCCATGATAATCACAAAAATAGCTTGAAAAGCTTTGAATATGTACAAAATGACATATATTTGTTAATAAAGGTGTTAAAGCACACAAAAATATGTTGCAAAGATGTTTAAGTGAGATTTATCACTGTGATATATTTGTGTGCCAAAAACCTTGAAGAATTCATGACAGACTTATTTTATTTTTTTTGTTGGGTGAAATATGAATCTTGTTGGAAAATGTGTGATGGTCATCCTGCTTTTTAGGTGTTATGACTAATATATCATATGCTGGATTAAATATAAATAATGACAGACTAAGGCTTATAACCCAACTAAAAAGCCTTGAAAATGTCAGCCTTGAATTTAAGTGTTCCTTATCTGTATGAACCTTGTGGATCTATAGGTGGAGGCTATACTTCTGCAGTGGTGTAGCTGCACTTCCTGGTATAGTCAAATCTAAACTTGAATGACTTCCTGAAATTGCGAAAAGCATTGTGCTGTAATAGGAATTGAAAAGCAACATTTTCAAGAGGGAACCCAAGCCCCTGCAATTCAGACATGATACATTTCATATCCTGATACAGTACTTTTATTTCACAAGTTGATATTCTTTCTTTTTGCAGTTGAATCACAACCCTGAAACATATATATATATATATATATATATATATATGATATTAAACGGGACTGTGTGGTCAGGTTCGCTGTCTTGGTATCCCAAATTCATAGATCTATGCTCATGACGTCAATCACTGGATTGTCTGGTCCAGATTCAATTATTAATTACAGACTGCCGTCATAAAGCTGGAATATTGCTGAGAGCGGCTTTAAACAAACAACACAAAAACTTGAAGGACACTTAGGCCAATTCATGGCAGTATTGGTACATCTCTGTGCTGTTTCATGATGCAAGTATTTTTCATTAGGTTGTTTAGTGATATTCATGTGACTAAGGAGTGCATGCTACATACATACTATCTGCAGCCATTGTTAGTTTTTTGGTTTGATCTGTAGTGATTCTCCTGGTGACAAGTGTACGAGAGTTTCATGTACTGCATCATGGTTGTGGGGTCTGGACTTGAAGCATTGTTACAGACTCAGCTGACGGTGATCACTGTCTTGTTGCTCCGTTTGAAGGCTTTGACTTATTTCTTGGTTTACTTGCAGTGAGGACAGGATGAAGAATGGCATCAAGAAGCTTGTGAAGGCAAAGCAAGGCACAACTCAAGGTCGACTTGACTCATTCTTCAAAGTAATGTCATCGTCCTCCTCCACGCCCAAGAGAAAGGTAGGAACATGTGTCTGTCTAATCTCATTAACATCAGAAGTTGTCTCTGTGATTCACATAGAAGAACGCCTCCTTGGTCTAGTAGAAGAACGCCTCAGTGGTCCAGTGGTCTAGTTGTTACCCTGCCTTGCACTCGGCAATTAAGGGCTAAAACAAGGACTGGTTGGCTGGGAGTCGGTATACTGAGTGGGGTATTTATGTTACACTGCACTATAAATCGGCATCAGTCCAGACTAGTACAAGCAGCCACACACACACACTCAAATGCCTATGCATGTCGCTATGTAAGTGATAAATAATCTTGAACATAACGTTAAACCCTATTTCAGCCCACCTCACCTTCATTCACTGGAGGGATTGTCTGTTTGTTGTTTAATGCCTCACTCAGCAATATTCTAGCTATATAATAGTGGTCAGTGAATAGACACGGATCAAGTCGATACTACGATAGTTTGGATGTGCATTTCTTTGTTTGCTCATTAGGATTGGCCGTAACGAGGATATTTGTGAACCAAACATGCAGTCAAGCTGTTCTGACGTTTCTCATTGCATACTGAAACGCTTAGACCAAGATTAAAGGTTCTAAAAGATCAGAAAGAACGCTTATGTATGTTTTCGTGCTAGGGAATTCCAAGGGATTTTCCCAAGACATGTGTGAGTAGTCCGTCAGTGTTTATGTCATTTCAAGAACAGTCTTTGGGAAAAAACGTATGAACGTCAAATTGTGTCGTTCATACACTTATGAACATTAATTTCGCTGTCATGTGACCGACCTCTCATCCAATGGAAAAGCCGTATATCGTGTAAACTTCAAATTAATAAATTATGTTATATTATATGTGCCTTGTGAATCAATGGTTACATGTACCGTGTAGCTGGTAAGTTCTCTAAATCCTTTTATATGAAGATTTGTAGACACCTGTCTTGCACTGATGATGATGCATTTCTACCTCCAGGCTGCTGAGGTGAAGGGGAGCGCCAAGAAGAAAGCCAAGGGTTCATTCAAGAAGGGACGATAGAGGTGCCATGTTTTTACCGCCAAATGAGTTTTTTCTTTTTAGAAAGTATCACTTCTGAATCAAATGGATGAATACAGAGATGTGTTTCATGTGCACAAACTAAGGATTCTGTCACTTTTGCCTCGGCATTTCTGGTGTCGCCCGCCATGATATTGCTGGAATATTGCTGAAAGCAGTGTAAAACCATACTCACTCCTTCCTTGGACATTGACGTCACTAGAGTCAACAAGATGTATTTGCTCTGTAAATAGATTATGCGAGTCAAGGATGTTGTTGCTGGGACAGCGTTCATGTATAGGCCAACATGATGTAAGGATAAAGATACAACCATTAGACAGGCTACTGATTGTGTTGATGCTTCAATGACAGACTTAATATGAAGACCTTGATGTCAGCTTGTTGGAGCACTGGAGGAAGGTTGGGACTCATCAGTTGTTAATAGCAACATATTTGCTGTGATTGTTCATTTCTGTTAATATTATTTTAGAATTCATTGAATATTGTGTTCACTTCATGATTAAGTTTTCTAAGGTGTGCTAAGCTGGAAATGCATTAGTTTGTGGCATTCACCTGATTGTATCCATTCATGTGGCATGAGATATCATCAAACTTGTTTTGAGAAGTGTAACTTGTTGAACACAATGTTGGTGTCTCCAGAGTGTATATAGAAATCTGAACAAATTTGATTTGTACAATAAACCATGAAAAGATAACTCCACATATTTTTGTACTTATTATTTTATGTGGGGGGTAGCGGTGCAATTGTGGCCCAGTCGTCAAAGGCACCGTAATTGGCTTACAGAGTTGCATCCCTTGGGCATGCCAGAGACCTATGATTGTGGGTTCGACTCCTGGTATGTCAGCACCACTAAAGTGGTAAACGTCCGAGACCTGCATTGCTTCAGGCTTTCCTCCCACATTAAGCTGACAGTTGTGATACAACTGGAATAATGTCCAAAATGGCGTTAAAACCAACTCATTCACTCTTTGAGGATATGTACAGGTTTCAAAACATTTATCTATTATTATCCTCTTGACATCAAAGGCAAATAACTTTTTAAACATGGACTTAACAAAAGTCCCTTTTTTAGCTCACCGGTCTCAAGGACCATGGTGAGCTTATGCCATACCGTGGCGTCCGTAAACAATTTTTTCATATGAATTCTTCTTCCTAACCGCGAATTGGAAATTAACTAAATTTGACTGGAAGCATCCCTAGGTGGTGGGGATTCGAAATTGTACGAATGGTGGGCCTGACCCCCTGAGGTGCGGGTCCAAATAGAATTACTTTGGTGTTATTGCTTTAAATGACTTCTTCTCTGGAACTACTTTGTTACACAGTGGGTTTTGCTTGGTAATTTGATCTCCGTCTATATATATAATATGTCTTCAAGATAAGCCATCCCCAGCCCTCTCTGCATAAGGACCAGCACTGAGCCTGTTAATGGAATGTCATTTTGTAACTTCAATTTCCACAATCTCTGCTCAGATCCGAGCACATTCTGGCCACTGGAAGACATAGTCTAAGTAATTAGGTAAAGTATGTGATTACCCACATATCCTTTCTGTGGGAGAAGCGAGACATTAAAAGTCCCACTTCAAGATGGTTTTGGATTTGCCATTTCTGCACAGTAATGTTTTCTCAATTTCTTTAGTACGATAATTTGTCAGCCTCATTGAATCAGAAGCAAATGTAAAGACGATATGGTCGCGGACACTGGGAAGTTAAGAAAAAAAACACAAGGAAGGTTTCTGTGAAGGGAACTAACAGTCGCATGTACTTTCTGCTTGGTGGTATCCTCTGCTGTTTTCCAACTTAAGGTCACTCGTTTTATTCAGAACCTTGCGAGTGATCGACGTGGCCGGCAAGCCTCGTACTGTCGGCTACTGAAATAGTCCCTTTATTGAAGAAGATGAGCCCCATCACTGCTCTGCACTGTCCCTCCCTGCACTCAGGGGTGACCTAAGTGGACCCAGGTCTGCCCGCGACAGCCCACCTTCACTGACAAGTGGAACAACTTAAAAGGTGCATCAACCAGTCCGACCTTCTTGACCCGGCCTTATGTTATGCACCCGACCCCTACGGCCACATGCATTTTACGACCGCTTCCTTGTGTTTTCAGCTATGACCCCCAAGATCAAATGAAGTTGAACACTGGCCTCAGACCACAAATATTTTCCTTCTTTGCTATCTACAGTGACATGACAGCCCACAATAATTAATATCGGTTGTAAGCGGTTCTCCTGTTGCATGCTGACCAACCTGCCACTTGTCACTCACTCCACCAGCGAGATTTGGCAGTAACCACTGTCAACAATGCTCACCGGATGTTTCAAGCCGAAACACATAGCGGCCTTCAACTTGGGGTCAAGTCATGGGAAGCTGGAATCATTACCCTGCACAGAGTGTGGCTAAAGAAAGATTTGCAACAAACAAAAATGTCTAATCTTTCATTTAAGCTATTCCAAGTCACTCTAAAAACATTGGCACAGACTGAACAGCCCATTAAAACATGGCACTATATTATCTCATTTTCGATTTCCTTCCGGTTCATGGTCAAACTTAGCGGTGGGGGTGCTGGTGTAACTGTGGTCTGAGTCCCACTCTTAATCCCAGATGGATATTCTCAGCCTGCCTCTACAGTCCTGATTTTCCCTCCTTGTCTTTGTCAGACCCAAGGAAAGAACAAAATAACGAAGTAGACAAAATGTGTACACTGTTATCAATATGTATTTACATAAAAAAAAGTTTTACAATATATACAGTCAAAATGGATTATGGTTTAAAGCAGAGGAAACAAATAGTCTATGTCTCCAGAATCACATGGTCAGCAGGGTAGAAGCCATACTGTTTGTTTTGGCCGACAAGCCCACACCGGCACCACCCAAATGACATGCCCCTCACATCCACGGGGAACTTTTGCTTGATGCGCATGCCTGCAAGAAAGGAAAGTAACACTATAACCCAAGAGAACCACACAAATATACAAAAATACAAATATCATGCACACTAACTGGGCGCTCCTACATCCGACACATGAGTGTTGCAGACACTGCTGGGTGGGACCACTCACCTAGACTCAACTGGAGGTGCTCAGGGTGGGTGGGCTTGAAGGGGCGGACAACTCGCACATACACGTCCTCCGTGTACTTGACGTCGTCCTCCACTGCAGCTGAAGAGAGACACGGGCATTTGATGAAGGTCTACATTTTCCAATACACCCTATTAATTGAACCCAACCCCATTGTTGGCACAAGCGACAGTTTGGGCAACACAAAGTGTTATCACAAAGAGAGAAAATATATAACGTAAGGCTCTATTTACCATGGGAGGTGCCAGCGACAGTCTCGTTGTTGTTGATGTCACCGTCATCCCCATTCTTGGTCCTAGACTTGGAGATCCAGCATCTACGACTGTGAACTGGCTGGCCTATGGCTGACATGACTTCTTGTGCCAGGCGGTTCTCCTCAGTCAGGCCTTTCTTCAGGTCACGTCTAATGGACACATCAGATGCTCGGATGAACGAGGTTGGAATTTTCTCCAAGAAGCCAAATTTCCGATGCCAGGCCTGAACATCTGGGAAGACGTACTTCTTGGAGGTCAGATCGCAGGTGGCATTGACGATGTCATTGACAGCTATGTTATCAATCGTGTTTTTTAGGAAGCTGGTCCTGCAGCAACAGAAAGTCCCATCATATACTAGTATACAAACAAACCAGAGGATAGCTAACAAGGCTTTGCAAAGGGAATACAGCCAATCTTAAGATTAACATAAAATCAAATCAGAAATGGTAGAACTGCGTATAACACACTGATGCAACGACAGTAGCTCTCTTATAAACGCGAGAAGAGATAGAGAGAGCATCAAAACTTCAGAACAATATACCGTGACACAGTTAAGCCAGTGCTGCTGCTGTACCTGTCATCGTTGTCAGACGAGCACGTCTTGACAACAAAGTCTCTGAGACTGGAGACCAAGGACTCCAACTGACTCTTCTGCAGGGCACATGCTTCTTGACATGCATGGTCAGAGGTCTGGGTGGGCGGATAGGGGGGATAAACAAAACAGGGAATAGATAGAGAAATGATAGAAGACAAAACAAAAAGTAATAGGAGGTTGACAGATAGAGACACATGCACAAAATAGATGAAGACAAGATATCAAGAGACAGACATGCACAAGAGTGGACATTTGTTTTGCCTGACATTGTGCATGTACAGGTTTGTTTGTGTCAGTGAAAGGGGACTTAAGTCACATAGAGAAAGAAGGTTAAACGAGATAAAGAATGTTGAAACAGAGGAACCATACAAAGAAATGAGTAGGAAAGGCTGAAGACTCAGAAGTAAGCTCCACTATTTTTCAATGCACACCTTTCTCAGCTTGTTCACAAGCTCACTTTCCTCTTGCAACAGGCGCTGGTAATGGACCTTGTGAGTCAGCTCTTTCCGGTTGTGTTTCCCCAGCTTTGACTCCAGAGTCCGGACCTTCTTCTCCAATATGGACTTCTTAGACTTCTTCCCCACCTTCTCCAGCACAGCCTTCAGCACGGTTATTCTCCGTTCATAATTGCGAGAGGCAGCCATGACCATTATTCCGTTCTGCCAAGAATGAGAAAACATCCAACTTGTCGTATTCTACTTCAATAAACATACGTGTGTGTATAGTAGCATTAAAGGGGAAGTGTACCCGCAAAAATCACTTTCTTTCTTTTTCTAAACAAAACGCAATTTTAGAATTAGTTAGTATCTGTGTTTGAAAATATACACTCATTTTTTTCACAGTGAAAGTAGGAAGCTCACAATAGTGTGAAAATGATATGCCGTTATGAGGCCTTCGTTTTTCGAGCTAAACAGGCCTGAGTTATCCCCCTTAGATTATGACGTAATTGGTGACAATTCAACTGGGTCCCTGTCTATTCTGAACGCAAAAGATATCAAGTACAAGTTTTCGGTAAAACAACATGGCCTACGACACATTCCGGCGCAGTGGTGACTCAGCATAACACTATGCTGGCTGGCATCTGAGACGCTAGAATCACACACCTGTACCTACACCACGTGAAGCGGCTCTAACAAAGCATGATGACGTCATAATGTTTATCAATTGGCACCAATGACGTCATATTGCAAGGGGGGATAAGCCATGGTGTTTTTGTTATGGAAATAGAACACTTGGTAAATGTGAAAAATATAAATCGTTTTAATGCAAAACATATGTTAATTAATTGTGATATTTTTTATATTTTTGTCTATGACACTTCTAGGTTAACACTTTTATTGTGGAAAAAGTACAAGAAAATTAGGTTCATTTCCGTGTGAACTTGCCCTTTAAGAATACAAAACAAATTACGATTAACGCTTCATCCTAATGGCTTTTGCCAGAACAACTCACCTCCTTCACGTCCTGGAGATGTTTGAGGCACACCAGGTGTCTCTCAGTCAGGGACAGAAGTTCCCGGCTCAGGTCCTTGTGCTCAGACGACACACCTCTCCTGTTAGTAGACGTCAATCTGAAAAGACCAGCAACATGAATACCATACTGTCCATTTTCTAAATCATTCACTCAAAACAGACAGTCAGCAGTCACACAGGAGTTTTCTTACTTTTTTAGAGATCGGATGGATCCGTCTGGGCCGGTCAGATCACGTGACACGGTGAGAATATGGTTAGCCTCTTGTTCGGACGATTTCAGGTAGCAGTCCAGAAGATGACGAACCTCATAACTCTCGGAACAGGCTGAAAACCGAAAACGCAAGTTTTACAACAAAGCGACACAGACATTAAACAAAGCCGATAACAGACCAAAATGAAAGCTCGAAGCAACATAAATAAGTAATCGGATGCTTACCGTCTTGACTGACAGTGTCAAGCTTGCTTTTGCAATCTTCACACCAGCTGATCAGCCTCTCGGCGTACGAATGATTGATGTCGATCCGGGAATTGATAAGTTCGAACCAGAAACGAGAAGGGTTGATGCTGTAAACAGACCGTAACAACTCTATGTAAACTGGCAAAAAGCAGGGGAAATTTACAGCAACGCGAATTGTTGTCTTCGAGATTAGGCTAGCATGTTTTTGCGCGAAAATGTATTTTACGACCTCGTGCCACACTACGATATTGTCGGAGATTTCCAATATCCTTAATACCGTCTGAAAACGGGAACGGGATGGGGCAATTTAGGTTGAGGGATCTCTGAAAATTGTATATGCATTTGGTATACCCTGTGAAATCAGGGTCCAATATGGCGTCCTAGCAACGAGAACGTCCGTTACATTTAATTTGGAGATTCAATCACGCTACGTGCAATACAGAAACAAAGAAAGCTACTTACAGTTCCCCCTCGGTCTGAAGATAATGAAACTCTGGAAGGTGAATCTCGTTCATGCTTGTAAAAGTAGGATAAAGACACTTTGGCAGAGCTATCAGACTTGACCAAATGTGAATCTGGTTGCTACGAAAGCAATGGCGGCGTTGCCATTATGACGTCCCAGAGGCGATTCCGTCACACCTCGGTAAAGTCCGTCATTGCAGGCTGAGCTCGACTAGTGTAAATATCGTCGTCTGGTAGAATATGGGGAATTTACGAAGATAGATTGATATCCCGACTGCGAGCAGGGTGGCGTGCATGAGTGAGTGAGTGAGTGAGCGAGTGAGTATGGTTTTACGCCGCTTTTAGCAATATTCCAGCAATAGCAAGGCGGGGGACATCAGAAATTGGTTTCACATATTGTACCCTTGTCGGGAATCGAACCCGGGTCTTCAGCGTGACGGGCGAACGCGTTAACCACTTGGCTACCCGACCGCCCCTGTCGCGCATGAGATACTAGCATTCTTGATGGCTGCCCATTTTTTTCAGTCAAATTTCATGTGTGCAAGTATCTATGGGCCTCTTGTCTTACAGTGTGAACAAACAGGTCCTGCGATATAGTAGTATGGGTCCCTGAGGAGAACAACTTGCCACGTGACATCTGAATGATGACTGAGAAGATCCACAACCTGTAAAGTAAAAACCACTAACATTTGACCATAGAGAACTACTCCCTGTAGCATGTAACTGACTGAAGACCTAACCTTCCTCTACCAAGGTATTTGATATTCTCCACACAAAAAAAACTGTACCTGAGAAATTCTGAATATAAAGTAAGGATAAGTTTTATGGATGAACAACTTCTCTATTACAACATGGAGCAACGCTTTGGGTCTGACACCCTTATCAAGCAAAGGATGTACAGAGTATAGTTGACAAGCATACTCTGTACATCACTTGCTTGATAACTGTTAGAACCTACGCGGAAACAACGTTGCTCCATATTGTAACAAAGACGTTTTTCATCCCTATATCTTGTCCTCAGGCAAGTTGTTTCAGCTTCTCATAGTCCTAGTTTATCTATTATGAGCAACACCATCTATCACAAATCACAACCTTGGTTCTGGCAAACACATCATAAGTTTGTCCTTCATGCTTGCTACAGTTGCTACACTTTTACCGATAGGCCTAAGGAACTAACCCAAGGGCTTTCAATATGACACCCTTAACTTCCTGTAATCGGAAGCTGGATGAAGCTGCATAAACTTCCTGAGGTTTGCCTATTAAATCACTCTGAACAAGTGCATGATTCTTCAGGACATTTCAGATTATAGAAGGCACGATGGCGTCTCCGGTTGTGCTAGAACCCTCCTCTGCACGTGCTACTATTGATTGTCAGTCATTCATGGTACGCAACCCTGCAGCTCCAACCTACATTGTGGTGTTCCTTAAGGATCAGTCTTGGGACCAGTGTTGTTCATAATTCATACCACATGTATGGCAGACATCACTGACAAGTAGGACACACTCATCATACATTTGCCGATGACACTCATCTAATGGAGACTTTTGTCTGTTTGTTGTTTAACGCCGCACTCGGCGGTCTGTAAATAATCAAGTCTGGACAAGACGATCCAATGATTGATGTCACGAGCATCGATCCTTGCAATTGGGATACTGACATGCATCAACCAAGTCAGTGAGCCTGACCACCCGATCCGGTTAGTCGCCTCGTACGACAAGCACAGCCGCCTTTTAACGACAAGCATGGGTTGCTGACGACCTATTCTACCCCGGATCTTCGCGGGTCTTTTGACAAAGCAGTCAACATGAGTCATTTCAATATAGTACACACTGTGCAAAATCTATCAAGAATTGGATTGAAGTCATGGTAGTTGGCAGAAAACACCACCTCAGCCAGTCTGATGACAATACTATCACTACTGGAGACGCACAGATTAAAATGTCAGCTCACGTTAAAGACCTAGGAGTCCATATTGATTCGCAGCTTAGCATGGAAGAAGCATGGGGCAACTTAGTCGGACAACGTACTATACCATCTTCGTGCCATTGGCGGCACCAGGAAACTGGTCTCAACTGATGCAGCACGAGTCCTTGTCCAGTTACTATAGTGATGGCTTCTTCTATCTGGCATTAGTAAAAAGATCTCTCCAAATTACAAAACATCTAAAATACAGCAGCACGCAATATCAGCAGATCGTCCAAAACCTCCCATATCACACCTGTCGTCAAAGAACTCCACTGGCTGCCGGTCAGAGCAAAAATTGACTTCAAACTTCTTCTAACACCCCAAAGTTATTTCATTGATGACGCTCACTGCATTCAGATAATGTCAGCATCAATAACATAAATTTATTTCCTGATTGATAGTTTGCATATTTTGGTAAATAGTTCGATTCTTTGGTAACAGTATATGTATTAGGGCTGGGACGAGTCCACATTTATTTATTACCCGGGTACCCACCCCCTTATTACCCGACCCTACCAAGGGACTCAATGTAGGTCTCAAGAGATAGGTACAAGATGTCCGATTGTGAATTGTTTTTTTCAATATATAATGTATCGCGATACTAACCACGGGTCCGGGTAGTCCTGTGGCTACCCGGGGCCTACTCGGTACCCATCCGACCAGGGTACCCGAGTTACACATCCCAGCCTAATATGTATCTATGATCCAATCAGGGACCGACCATCTGACGCTGGGGGCTGGGGGCTGGGGGCTGGGGGCTGGGATATTGTATCGAGATTAGATATTTTTCAGCTGCAGTTAGGAAAAAATTAATTAAGACATATGTTTTTTAGCCGGAATCAGAAATTCGTTTAAAGACTTTTAACATTGTTATTTTTGTGGCAGGCAATTCTTTCTTTTTTCGAACAGTGTGAAGCACAATTATTTCTTTCAAGAGGTTTCGTGGACAATTTATTTTTTTCGAAAACATCCCATGTTATTTCAGTGTAAGCTTTTCCAATCTTGTGTCTGTGCACGGCGGTCATATTGAAAATCGGATTCGAGCTTCTTGCAGAAGTCGGGGTGTCATCACTGGCGAGAATTAATGTACACATACATACAAGTGTTAGTTGTTGAATGGAATGCCTCGTGATACACTCGTCATTCCATTCAACACTTAGAGTTTGTGTTTGGCGTGTCTTTGAATACGCAAACTGCGCACATTCGTATATCCTGCTATATGTACGCTATCAAAGAGTTGTCTCCCTTGATTAGCACATCGCGAAGATGCACGCGCAATCTCGCGTGACGTCTACATCCCGGAAGTCAAGCAGAAGAACTATTCGACGAATACTCACATGGTTTGTTGATTAAGGATTTTAGTATGTATAAGCCGCACGTCTTTACATTAAAATAATTGCTTTCGAAGGTTATGTGTTTTTCTCATAAGACGAAAAATCGTTATCTCAGATGGCAATTTGCTTGCAGAGAAATCGCTCTTTTGAACTCTGTGAGACTGTGTGACAGTGTGTCTTCAAGTTCAATGATAACCTGCAATGTTTATACATAGGCATTCACCTGGGTACCCGATTCAGCTACTTATGGCTGATTAACAATTATTTACCAACAAAGGCTCAGCATGTATTGGAAAAATCAACAAATGTATGAAGTCTTTGAACTTTGTACAGCTCCAGTGAGTGAGTGAGTGAGTTGCTTATGTGGAATATCCGATGTAAATTATTGAAATTAATAAATGTGAGCATGACACTTAAGGGAAAAATGCGAGTGTCCTTTGCTCACATTTATAATGTGACACATATTAAAATGTCATACATAACAAATCTCCCTATAAACAACCCTAGATGTAGGTCTAGTGCTTCAGTATGTTCTGTTTGTTTACTCATGTTCCTCCAGCAGGCAGGATGGTTCTACCCCATGTGTCACAGGGTTATAGCCAAAACGACACCTTATTTTTTTTTTTACTTTGGTCAAATAAATTATATTAAACTTACATTGTACTTGTATGATATTAACTTGCAAACGCCAATAATTGTGAGATGTTAAAACAAGTTTACATTAGAAATTGGCCTCTACTCCAACTATAATCCAACTTAGCTTATACGCAACTCAACTAATTGTGAAAACATAACATGCTTTAGGTTGGCACAGACGTATCAATAACAAGGTGAGTGAGCAGTCCCTGGGGATCTACAGATTGATCCCAGAGCTGTTCCGAGAGGCCAGTCTGTTGCCTCTACAGTCAAGACTCATTCAGGAGGGACGACTCAGGGCGTATGTGAGCAAATCATCCACATCTCCTTACTTTAGTCCAAAAACTTGTCTAATGTCCTGTGTTTCTTCTGTTTTAGAAGGTTCAGTTATGAACCCTGTCTGGTGAGGAGCGAGTCAGATGAAGTGTCATGACAGATTGAGATAGATATGGAATCTGTGAAGTCAAGGTTCCGAAGACTCTCCCTCAACCATGTGTGTTTTGTGGGACTCTGTGCAGTGATCGTGTACTTGTTTCGAGCTGGAGATACCTATTACCTGAAGCCAGTGTGGAGGAAACGGGTTGAGAGCCAGCAGTTTGCTAACGGTGCCTACCCAACAGATGAGGATAGATTACCTCCCCCTGTCATCACTGACCTTGAAAGTGATGGTGTAAACGAGATAGTGCTGATAACAAGTGACATGAAACTGACGATCTTAGCTATGCCCGAGATGCAGGACAAGGATGAAGAAACGTTACCCCATGTGATTGTGAAGCATAAAGTAACTCTGCCTTTGTTGAATGCTAAAGGAGACGTAGTGAGTCGCCCAGTTGTCATGAGGACGGGCTTCACTGAACCATATCAGTCAATGGTGCAAGTGAGATCTCAGGTAAGACTAAGAGCTGAAATATGAAGTCATGATTCATTTTCACGTATGACTTGTTTGTTACTTTACGCCGCACTCAGCAATATTCCAGCTATATGACGGCGGTCTGTAAATAATCGAGTCTGGACCAGACAATCCACTGTTGATATCATGAGCATCGATCTACACACTTGGGATACGGTGACTTGCATCAACCAAGTCAGCAAGCCTGATCACCCGATTCGTTTGTCGCCTATTACGAAACCTATTCTACCCCAGATCTTCACTGATCTCATTTCACAGGAAGTAAGCTGGTGAAGTCATAAAGTATTCATGATTCACTGGTGGACTGTGATATCACCATGGTTACAGTGACTATATGATTATGTATTGTTATGATGATTATGTATTGTTATGTACTATGATGATTATGTATTGTTATGTACTATGATGATTATGTATTGTTATGTACTATGATGATTATGTATTGTTATGTACTATGATGATTTTGTAACAAATAGAATGTAGAATGTTCAAATGAATTTTATGACCATTGATTCAGATTAGAACAAACATATAAATTATATTTGACTTTAATTTAATTTCTCCTACGCCACTGTTTGCTGTAAGAGTAAGTATTATTCAGCAATGAATGATTGACAGCAAAAGACCTCACTAATTTGTGTAAATAAAACCGAAGCTAAGAATCCCCTGTTGTGCAGGTGATAGTGATAGCCACCGCCGACTGGCAGGTACTGTGCTTCACCCCAGCGCTGGAGTTGGTGTGGAGGACATCGCTGATGCCGGCCGAGGCACTGAAGGAAGCATATATCATGAAGGCTATGGATGTCCTGGTCACCTCACACTCCGTCAAGAAGAATGATGGTGGACTTGTTATCATCGGAGGCAGCATGCTGCATAAGTCACATCTACAAGCAGAGGAAGACGAGTGAGTCAATTCATAAGCAGCACCAGTAGACAGAGAACTGAATATTGCTACGAAGGGACCAAAATGAAATGCTGGAGTTAACCAAGAAATCGGTTCACATACAACTAAATTGGGAAATCAGTGAATAACAACAAGATCTATGAATAATTAATCAACAAATTATAGTCAAGTGCACAATTTTAGGTTTACAAATCAAAAAGGCAGATCAAATAAGTTGTAGCAGCAATAAGTAGCATAAATGTTTTGAAACAATGTTGTCTCTGTTCTTGAATCCAGAATAGAGTTGGAAACTGGCAGGAATACAGTGTTTTCGAATAGGTATCCAATCTGCACTTGGCTAGTGGATAAGATGCAAGTCAGGTAGAAAAAGGCCTTGCAAATCTCTTCAACAATCAAGCCTGTCAAGTTCAGAAACAAACAGGGGCAGATAACTCCAATTTCCACTCACTGCTGCCGGCAGCCCTCTACATTTTACTATCACTTCAATCATTTGTTGCCACTGACATTTACTACAAATATATTTACCACAGTCTGTACTGGCTCATAATATTAATATCAATGGGCATTGATTGGACATAGCCCAATACTCATACCCAAACCCAGGGTCGTGGGTTTCATCAAAGTGATAAACATCAAAGACCTGCATCACTTCTGGTGTTCCTCCCACGTCAAGCTGACATGTTGTTTTTAACTGAAATACTGTTCAAAGCGATATTAAATGAAGCTCACTTACTGACTGACTGACTCACTCACTCACTCTTCTCCAGGGCTCATTTCCGAAACCACACGGAGGAATCACTGGACAGAGGGCATTTCTCAACATTTGCTGTCAGTGGTAGAAATGGGTCTTTGCGATGGAGCCATCTACCGGGAGATTTTGGCGAGCAGCGACAGGACATCAAGGCACGGCCATTTAACTCTTCACGTCAGGTTCGGTGCTGCTTGTGTATGTTGCTTGTCTCACTAGCACTTTATTCCTTGTTTCTAATAACAAATTATTTGTGTTAGCTACGCCTGCCTCTCGTGACCACTCATGTCATTTCGGGACAAACCGGGGACTTGTGCCCCTCACCTTCCATCTTTATGTTCAGAAGAAAATGTAAACTTGTTGTACGACACTAAATCATTATAAGTATTAGTAGATTGCTGGTGATTTTTTAAGTTCACATGTAATATGGGATGATAAATGACAGATATTTTTACTTATTTTGTTGCACTTTTGCACATGGTATAATTGTCCTGTCATAAATGTCTCTTCATGTAGAGAAGTGTGTCAATTCCTTTTTTATCATCCTTATTTTCCTTCTGCGTCTGCTTCAAAAATATAGTGTGCACTAGTGGTTCAGTCACATTCAAGCACCCATAAAATCTACTTGTAGACACTGAACAGCATACATGTACATGCATTGTCAGATCTCCCTTGATGTCAGTCTCTTCAGGAGATTCATGGAGTGGGACCTTTCTTCACCACTCATTTACAGGTTCATTAGCGAAATAAGAATGAGAATATAATGGACTGAAATGAACATGGGTGTTTCTTTGAATGACCAGAGGTACGTCATATCTCATGTCTACCTTGGACTTTGGTTTAATTACTGACATATGGTCGTGGTGTTATTCCAAATTCCTTATAAGTTTTTGTCAGGTTTGTGACATTAGGTGGGTGATAAGCATGATCAGGTTAAAACACAACATACCTTAGGGACCAGTCACTGATTCAAAACACAACTTGCCTTAGGGACCAGTCATTGATTCAAAGCACAACATGCCTCAAAGACCGGTCACTGATTCAAAACACAACATGCCTCAAGGACCAGTCACTGATTCAAAACACAACTTGCCTTAGGGACCAGTCACTGATTCAAAACACAACATGCCTCAAGGACCAGTCACTGATTCAAAACACAACTTGCCTCAAGGACCGGTCACTGATTCAAAACACAACAGCGCTTAGGGACCGGTCACTGATTCAAAACACAACATGCCTTAGGGACCGGTCAGTGATTCAAAACACAACATGCCTCAAGGACCAGTCACTGATTCAAAACACAACTTGCCTTAGGGACCGGTCAGTGATTCCAAACACAACATGGCTTAGGGACCATTCACTGATTCAAAGCACAACATGCCTCAAGGACCAGTCACTGATTCAAAACACAACATGGCTTAGGGACCGGTCACTGATTCAAAACACAACTTGCCTTAGGGACCAGTCATTGATTCAAAGCACAACTTGCCTCAAAGACCGGTCACTGATTCAAAACACAACATGCCTCAAGGACCAGTCACTGATTCAAAACACAACTTGCCTTAGGGACCAGTCACTGATTCAAAACACAACATGCCTCAAGGACCAGTCACTGATTCAAAACACAACTTGCCTCAAGGACCGGTCACTGATTCAAAACACAACATGGCTTAGGGACCGGTCACTGATTCAAAACACAACATGCTTTAGGGACCGGTCAGTGATTCAAAACACAACATGCCTCAAGGACCAGTCACTGATTCAAAACACAACTTGCCTTAGGGACCGGTCAGTGATTCCAAACACAACATGGCTTAGGGACCATTCACTGATTCAAAGCACAACATGCCTCAAAGACCGGTCACTGATTCAAAACACAACATGCCTTAGGGACCGGTCAGTGATTCCAAACACAACATGGCTTAGGGACCATTCACTGATTCAAAGCACAACATTCCTTAGGGACTGGTCACTGATTCAAAGCACAACATGCCTTAGGAACTGGTCACTGATTCAAAACACAACATGGCTTAGGGACCGGTCACTGATTCAAAACACAACATGGCTTAGGGACCGATCACTGATTCAAAACACAACATGCCTCAAGGACCGATCACTGATTCAAAGCACAACATGCCTCAAGGACCAGTCACTGATTAAAAACACAACATGCTTAGTAACCGGTCATTGATTCAAAATACATGCCTTAGGGACCGGTCACTGATTCAAAACACAACATGGCTTAGGGACAGGTCACTGATTCAAAACACAACTTGCCTTAGGGACCGGTCACTGATTCAAAACACAACATGGCTTAGGGACCGGTCACTGATTCAAAACACAACATGCCTCAAGGACCAGTCACTGATTCAAAACACAACTTGCCTTAGGGACCAGTCACTGATTCAAAGCACAACATGCCTCAAAGACCGGTCACTGATTCAAAACACAACATGCCTTAGGGACCGGTCAGTGATTCCAAACACAACGTGGCTTAGGGACCATTCACTGATTCAAAGCACAACATTCCTTAGGGACTGGTCACTGATTCAAAGCACAACATGCCTTAGGAACTGGTCACTGATTCAAAACACAACATGCCTTAGGGACCGGTCACTGATTCAAAACACAACATGGCTTAGGGACCGATCACTGATTCAAAGCACAACATGCCTCAAGGACCGGTCACTGATTCAAAACACAACATGCCTCAAGGACCAGTCACTGATTAAAAACACAACATGCTTAGTAACCGGTCATTGATTCAAAATACATGCCTTAAAGACCGGTCACTGATTCAAAACACAACATGGCTTAGGGACCGGTCACTGATTCAAAACACAACATGCCTTAGGGACTGGTCACTGATTCAAAACACAACATGCCTTAGGGACCGGTCACTGATTCAAAACATAACATGCCTTAGGGACCAGTCACTGATTCAAAACACAACATGACTAAGGGACCGGTCACTGATTCAAAACACAACATGCCTTAGGGACCGGTCACTGATTCAAAACACAACATGCCTTAGGGACCGGTCACTGATTCAAAACACAACATGCCTTAGGGACTGGTCACTGATTCAAAGCACAACATGCCTCAAGGACTGGTCACTGATTAAAAACACAACATGCTTAGGGACCGGTCATTGATTCAAAATACAACATGCCATAGGGACCGGTCACTGATTCAAAGCACAACATGCCTCAAGGACTGATCATGGATTCAAAACACAACATGCTTTAGGGACCGGTCATTGATTCAAATCACAGCGTTAACATGCCTTAGGGACCGGTCAGTGATTCCAAACACAACATGGCTTAGGGACCATTCACTGATTCAAAGCACAACATGCCTTAGGGACCAGTCACTGATTCAAAGCACAACATGCCTTACATTATAAATAACAATGTGTTCTATAGATTGTGAAGGTGTACAATGTTGTGTTGTGTACTGTGTGAAGGTGTGCAGTGTTGTGTACTGTGCGAAGGTGTACAATGTTGTGTTCTATACATTGTGAAGGTGTGCAATGTTGTGTTCTATACACTGGGAAGGTATACACTGTTGTGTTCTGTACTGTGTAAAGGTGTACAATGTTGTGTTCTGTACACTGGGAAGGTATACAATGTTGTGTTCTATACATTGTGAAGGTGTACAATGTTATGTTCTGTACACTGGGAAGGTATACAATGTTGTGTTCTGTACACTGGGAAGATATACAATGTTGTGTTCTGTACACTGGGAAGGTATACAATGTTGTGTTCTGTACACTGGGAAGGTATACAATGTTGTGTTCTGTACACTGGGAAGGTATACAATGTTGTTTTGTGCAGGAGGATGGAGGGGAACACCACTGGAAGCTGGGGCTTAGAAAGAACAGACTGCACAAGGGAGAGGTGCCCTGGAGGTACTATAAGGACAAAATCAAATCTCTATTGGTAAGTTGCTCTTCACCCAGTCTGCTGCTGGTATTGCCATTGGGGCAGAAAAGTCCTCCATACACCATACTTGTCTCCCCTTGGGGATTCCAGGGTGGAACAGGTCCTCAATACACCATACTTGCCTCCCCAAGGGGATTCCAGGGTAGAACAGGTCCTCCATACACCATACTTGTCTCCCCTTGGGGATTCCAGGGTAGAACAGGTCCTCCATACACCATACTTGTCTCCCCATGGGGATTCCAGGGTGGAACAGGTCTTCAATACACCATGCTTGTCTCCCCAAGGGGATTCCAGGGTAGAACAGGTCCCCAATACACCATGCTTGTCTCCCATGGGGATTCCAGGGTGGAACAGGTCCTCAATACACCATACTTGTCTCCCCATGGGGATTCCAGGGTGGAACAGGTCCTCCATACACCATGCTTGTCTCCCCATGGGGATTCCAGGGTGGAACAGGTCTTCAATACACCATGCTTGTCTCCCCATGGGGATTCCAGGGTAGAACAGGTCTTCCATACACCATGCTTGTCTCCCCAAGGGGATTCCAGGGTAGAACAGGTCCTCCATACACCATACTTGTCTCCCCATGGGGATTCCAGGGTAGAACAGGTCCCCAATACACCATGCTTGTCTCCCCAAGGGGATTCCAGGGTAGAACAGGTCCTCCATACACCATACTTGTCTCCCCATGGGGATTCCAGGGTAGAACAGGTCTTCAGTGAACCAAGCTGATTGCAAAAATGGAGTGGATAAAAAAACAGGTTGATTATATGTAATCTTCACTATGTAAATCTGCCATAGTTTCCCTTCACTATGTAAATCTGCCATGGTTTCCCTTCACTATGTAAGTCTGCCATGGTTTCCCTTCACTGTGTAAATCTGCCATAGTTTCCCTTCACTATGTAAACCTGCCATGGTTTCCCTTCACTGTGTAAATCTGCCATAGTTTCCCTTCACTATGTAAATCTGCCATAGTTTCCCTTCACTGTGTAATCTGCCATAGTTTCCCTTCACTATGTAAATCTCCAATGGTTTCCCTTCACTATGTAAATCTGCCATAGTTTCCCTTCACTATGTAAATCTGCCATGGTTTCCCTTCACTATGTAAACCTGCCATGGTTTCCCTTCACTGTGTAAATCTGCCATAGTTTCCCTTCACTGTGTAAATCTGCCATGGTTTCCCTTCACTGTGTAAATCTGCAATGGTTTCCCTTCACTATGTAAATCTGCCAAAGTTTCCTTTCACTATGTAATTCTGCCATAGTTTCCCTTCACTGTGTAAATCTGCCATGGTTTCCCTTCACTATGTAAATCTGCCATGGTTTCCCTTCACTATGTAAATCTGCCATGGTTTCCCTTCACTATGTAAATCTGCCATGGTTTCCCTTCACTATGTAAATCTGCAATGGTTTCCCTTCACTATGTAAATCTGCCAAAGTTTCCTTTCACTATGTAATTCTGCCATGGTTTCCCTTCACTATGTAAATCTGCCATGGTTTCCCTTCACTGTGTAAATCTGCCATGGTTTCCCTTCACTATGTAAATCTGCCATAGTTTCCCTTCACTGTGTAAATCTGCCATGGTTTCCCTTCACTATGTAACTCTGCCATGGTTTCCCTTTACTGTGTAAATCTGCCATGGTTTACCTTCACTATGTAAACCTGCCATGGTTTCCCTTCACTGTGTAAATCTGCCATAGTTTCCCTTCACTATGTAAATCTGCCATAGTTTCCCTTCACTGTGTAATCTGCCATAGTTTCCCTTCACTATGTAAATCTGCCATGGTTTCCCTTCACTATGTAAATCTGCCATAGTTTCCCTTCACTATGTAAATCTGCCATGGTTTCCCTTCACTATGTAAACCTGCCATGGTTTCCCTTCACTGTTTAAATCTGCCATAGTTTCCCTTCACTGTGTAAATCTGCCATGGTTTCCCTTCACTGTGTAAATCTGGAATGGTTTCCCTTCACTATGTAAATCTGCCAAAGTTTCCTTTCAATATGTAATTCTGCCATAGTTTCCCTTCACTGTGTAAATCTGCCATGGTTTCCCTTCACTATGTAAATCTGCCATGGTTTCCCTTCACTATGTAACTCTGCCATGGTTTCCCTTCACTGTGTAAATCTGCCATGGTTTCCCTTCACTATGTAAATCTGCCATAGTTTCCCTTCACTGTGTAAATCTGCCATGGTTTCCCTTCACTATGTAAGTCTGCCATAGTTTCCCTTCACTATGTAAATCTGCCATGGTTTTTCTTCACTGTGTAAATCAGCCATGGTTTCCCTTCACTGTGTAAATCTGCCATGGTTTCCCTTCACTATGTAAATCTGCCATGGTTTCCCTTCACTGTGTAAATCTGCCATGGTTTCCCTTCACTGTGTAAGTCTGCCATAGTTTCCCTTCACTATGTAAATCTGCCATGGTTTTTCTTCACTGTGTAAATCAGCCATGGTTTCCCTTCACTGTGTAAATCTGCCATGGTTTCCCTTCACTGTGTAAATCTGCCATGGTTTCCCTTCACTATGTAAATCTGCCATAGTTTCCCTTCACTATGTAAATCTGCAATGGTTTCCCTTCACTATGTAAATCTGCCATGGTTTCCCTTCACTGTGTAAATCTGCCATAGCTCCCCTTCACTGTGTAAATCTGCACTGGTTTCCCTTCACTGTGAAAATCTGCCATAGTTTCCCTTCACTGTAAATCTGCAATGGTTTCCCTTCACTGTGTAAATCTGCAATAGTTTCCCTTCACTATGTAAATCTGCCATAGTTTCCCTTCACTGTGTAATCTGCCATAGTTTCCCTTCACTATGTAAATCTGCAATGGTTTCCCTTCACTATGTAAATCTGCCATAGTTTCCCTTCACTATGTAAATCTGCCATGGTTTCCCTTCACTATGTAAACCTGCCATGGTTTCCCTTCACTGTGTAAATCTGCCATAGTTTCCCTTCACTGTGTAAATCTGCCATGGTTTCCCTTCACTGTGTAAATCTGCAATGGTTTCCCTTCACTATGTAAATCTGCCATAGTTTCCTTTCACTATGTAATTCTGCCATAGTTTCCCTTCACTGTGTAAATCTGCAATGGTTTCCCTTCACTATGTAATTCTGCCATAGTTTCCCTTCACTGTGTAAATCTGCCATGGTTTCCCTTCACTATGTAACTCTGCCATGGTTTCCCTTTACTGTGTAAATCTGCCATGGTTTACCTTCACTATGTAAACCTGCCATGGTTTCCCTTCACTGTGTAACTCTGCCATGGTTTCCCTTCACTGTGTAAATCTGCCATAGTTTCCCTTCACTCTGTAAATATGCCATAGTTTCCCTTCACTATGTTAATCTGCCATGATTTCCCTTCACTGTGTAAATCTGCCATGATTTCCCTTCACTATGTAAATCTGCCATGGTTTCCCTTCACTATGTAAATCTGCCATAGTTTCCCTTCACTATGTAAATCTGCCATGGTTTCCCTTCACTATGTAAATCTGCCATAGTTTCCCTTCACTATGTAAATCTGCCATGGTTTCCCTTCACTATGTAAGTCTGCCGTGGTTTCCCTTCACTGTGTAAATCTGCCATGGTTTCCCTTCACTATGTAAGTCTGCCATAGTTTCCCTTCACTATGTAAATCTGCCATAGTTTCCCTTCACTATGTAAATCTGCCATAGTTTCCCTTCACTATGTAAATCTGCCATAGTTTCCCTTCACTATGTAAATCTGCCATAGTTTCCCTTCACTATGTAAATCTGCCATGGTTTCCCTTCACTATGTAAATCTGCCATAGTTTCCCTTCACTATGTAAATCTGCCATGGTTTCCCTTCACTATGTAAATCTGCCATAGTTTCCCTTCACTATGTAAATCTGCCATGGTTTCCCTTCACTATGTAAGTCTGCCATAGTTTCCCTTCACTATGTAAATCTGCCATAGTTTCCCTTCACTATGTAAATCTGCCATGGTTTCCCTTCACTATGTAAATCTGCCATAGTTTCCCTTCACTATGTAAATCTGCCATGGTTTCCCTTCACTATGTAAATCTGCCGTGGTTTCCCTTCACTCTGTAAATATGCCATAGTTTCCCTTCACTCTGTAAATATGCCATAGTTTCCCTTCACTATGTTAATCTGCCATGATTTCCCTTCACTGTGTAAATCTGCCATGATTTCCCTTCACTATGTAAATCTGCCATTGTTTCCCTTCACTATGTAAATCTGCCATAGTTTCCCTTCACTATGTAAATCTGCCATGGTTTCCCTTCACTATGTAAATCTGCCGTGGTTTCCCTTCACTGTGTAAATCTGCCATGGTTTCCCTTCACTATGTAAGTCTGCCATTGTTTCCCTTCACTATGTAAATCTGCCATGGTTTTTCTTCACTGTGTAAATCAGCCATGGTTTCCCTTCACTGTGTAAATCTGCCATGGTTTCCCTTCACTATGTAAATCTGCCATGGTTTCCCTTCACTATGTAAATCTGCCATAGTTTCCCTTCACTGTGTAAATCTGCAATGGTTTCCCTTCACTATGTAAATCTGCCATGGTTTCCCTTCACTATGTAAATCTGCCATAGTTTCCCTTCACTGTGTAAATCTGCACTGGTTTCCCTTCACTGTGAAAATCTGCCATAGTTTCCCTTCACTGTAAATCTGCAATGGTTTCCCTTCACTATGTAAATCTGCCATAGTTTCCCTTCACTGTAAATCTGCAATGGTTTACCTTCACTATGTAAATCTGCCATAGTTTCCCTTCACTGTGTAAATCTGTACTGGTTTCCCTTCACTATGTAAATCTGCCATGGTTTCCCTTCACTGTGTAAATCTGCCATGGTTTCCCTTCACATATCTGCACCAATCAGTGACTTAAGACTTGAAAATAATCTCCTTTTTGATCCATTTCAGCCACATATGTGGACAAGCTTGGCGGACACCAAGTTCAAACTGGCTCGCTTTCAGAAAGAGGCTCCTGTTCCGGAGACTGATGATGAGGCTGAGGATCAGGAGCCCTTTGAGTCCACGGCTCTCAAGCCAGAGCACATTGTTGGGTATGCCTATGGTGGCCTGAGACCTCACAGTGATGACGAACATGTCGACAATCCCAATGCTGTCGTCATCCATCGGGACACTGGAGTAGAAGTACTCAATCTGCTCTCGGGTACGTTTACAGAACATCTGTGCATGGCTTTTGATACTGTAAGGTTAAGAGCCTGTTGGTAGCCTTGTGGTGAAAGTGTTAGCTAATTGTGATGAGGACCTGGGTTTGACTCCCCACACAATCTGAGCACCTGGTTTGTGTTCCCCACTGCGACATTGATGGAATATTGACAGGCAGCTGAAGAATACCTCTGCAAAACGACTGATAGGATCACACAATCAACCCTTTATTTTGCAGCAAACTCTCCAATGTATTACAGCCATTTGTATCACTTCCTTCATGTCTAAGGCCATAAAGATAAGAGAATGTCCTGTCCTTCACACATTAAACCCTCTCACCCAGGGGAATCCTCAGCCACCTGTGCTTGATGTAAGAGGCAACTAAATTGATCGGGTGGGCAGATTCAGTGACTTGATGGCATGACAATGTGCAGGCCACTGCACACGAACACCTTTATCAACTGTGATTGCCAATATGGACCATTTGTCTCCTTCTTTCTCTCATCTTTTTCTGAACTATCAAGTTAATGAGAAATATTCTAAACAAGACTTTTTCAATAGATGCCCCAAATATTCATTTGGTTATACAAGTGATTAGTATTTTGTAGCACCTGATGTGACTGTGTGCTATGATCTTACACAGGATCACAACCTTTTATTGACATAGTATTCCCATAGAAACATTGTTGTCATTGATAGAAAACAATATGGCCAAATGTCTCTGAGGTCCTGAATAGCTCAGTTGTTTAAGTTGATGCAATTCACTGTTTCATCCCTTAGTCATTACATCATGTCTGTATGTGTACCCACACAACAGTGACATCATGTCTGTATGTGGACACACAAAGCAGTGACATCATGTCTGTATGTGTACACACAAAGCAGTGACAACATGTCTGTATGTGTACACACAAAACAGTGACATCATGTTTGTATGTGTACACACAAAGCAGTGACATCATGTCTGTTTGTATACACACAAAACAGCGACATCATGTCTGTATGTGTACCCACACAACAGTGACATCATGTCTGTATGTGTACACACAAAGCAGTGACATCATGTCTGTATGTGTACCCACACAACAGTGACATCATGTCTGTATGTGTACACACAAAGCAGTGACATCATGTCTGTATGTGGACACACAAAGCAGTGACATCATGTCTGTGTGTGTACCCACAAAACAGTGACATCATGTCTGTATGTGTACCCACAAAGCAGTGACATCATGTCTGTATGTGGACACAAAAAGCAGTGACATCATGTCTGTATGTGTACCCACAAAACAGTGACATCATGTCTGTATGTGTACACACAAAGCAGTGACATCATGTCTGTATATGTACTCACAAAACAGTGACAATATATCTGTATGAGTACACACAAAGCAGTGACATCATGCCTGTATGAGTACACACAAAGCAGTGACATGTCTGTATGTGGACCCACAAAACAGTGACATCATCTATATATGTCTACACACAAACCAGTGACATCATGTCATCATGTACACACAAAGCAGTGACATCATGTCTGTATGTGGACCCACAAAACAGTGACATCATATATGTATGTCTACACACAAAGCGGTGACATCATTTCTCTATGTGTAAACACCAAGCAGTGACATCATGTCTGTATGTGGACACACAAAGCAGTGACATAATGTCTGTATGTGTACCCACAAAACAGTGACATCATGTCAGAATATGTACCCCCAAAACAGTGACATCATGTCTGTATGTGGACACACAAAGCAGTGACATCATGTGTCTGTATGTGTACCCACAAAACAGTGACATCATGTCTGTATATGTACCCCCAAAACAGTGACATAATGTCTGTATGTGTATCCACAAAACAGTGACATCATGTCCATGTGTACACACAAAGCAGTGACTGGCTATATGTGTACACACAGAACAGTGACATCATCTCCATGTGCACACACAAATCTGTGACATCATGTCTGTATGTGTTCACACAAAACAGTGACATCATGTCTGTATATGTACCCCCAAAACAGTGACATAATGTCTGTATGTGTATCCACAAAACAGTGACATCATGTCCATGTGTACACACAAAGCAGTGACTGGCTATATGTGTACACACAGAACAGTGACATCATCTCCATGTGCACACACAAATCTGTGACATCATGTCTGTATGTGTTCACACAAAACAGTGACATCATGCCTATATGTACACACAAAGCAGTGACATGTCTGAATGTGTTCCCACAAAACGGTGACATCATGTCCGTTTGTATACACACAAAACAGCGGCATCATGTCTGTATGTGTTCCCACAAAACAGTGACATCATGCCTGCTTGTGTATACACAAAACAGTGACATCATGTTTGTATGTGTACACACAAAGCAGTGACATCATGTCTGTTTGTATACACACAAAACAGCGACATCATGTCTGTATGTGTTCCCACAAAACAGTGACATCATGCCTGCTTGTGTATACACAAAACAGTGACATCATGTTTGTATGTGTACACACAAAGCAGTGACATCATGTCTGTTTGTATACACACAAAGCAGTGACATCATGTCTGTATGTGTTCCCACAAGACAGTGACATCATGCCTATATGTACACAAAACAGTGACATCATGTCCCGTTGTATACACACAAAGCAGTGACATGATGTCTGAATGTGTTCACATAAAACGGTGACATCATGTCCCTTTGTATACACACAAAGCAGTGACATCATGTCTCTATGTGTACACACAAATCTGTGACATCATGTCTGTATGTGTTCACACAAAACAGCAACATCATGTTTGTATGTATACACACAAAGCAGTGACATCATGTTTGTATGTATACACACAAAGCAGTGACATCATGTCTGTTTGTGTATACCGGTACACACAAGACAGTGACCTCATATCTATGTACACAAAGGTCGCCCGATGACAAGAATGGAGTTCCTGCCAGACTCTTCCATCTACATGGACGTGGATGGGGACTGGGAGCCTGAGCGGATAACGTGGGGACAGTACAAGGACCACACTGTGTGTTACTTGGAGATCTGGCGCCAGCAGCCCATCAAAGAGAAGCTGGATCAGCTGGCTGTCTGCATCTCCAAGCGGATGGTGTGGACACGGTCGTGGGCACTGGAGGAGGATTTCTACAAGAAACTGCCACCATACATCACTCAGAAGTAGGTCACTGGAACATTGTTTTCAGGGAGGACAGTCACCAAAATATATGGAGAGTCCTAAAAAAAAATACCCTTTTGTTGAGGGTCATGAATTAAACATTGAGATTTTCTAATAAAATATTAAGTGCTTTAGCATTTTGTCTATTCAGTGTGGGTCAAGAAAAATCTGTTCAAGCTTTATGGGAGGGTCATTATTTTCAGTACATTAATGCATCAATTAAACCCCAATTATGTACACTATGTATTTTACATACTATGTGTTTATTTGTTTTCTATATATTTACTAACATATAGTCTATCTTTTAAGTGTCGCCAAGAAGAAGGGAATAATCTCGCATCTACTTGGCCGTCACTTGTCATTTGACTCCCGATTTGACATTGTGTCAGTCACCAGCTTGGGCAGGGTGTCTTCCTTTGATGTGGAGGGAAACATTCACTGGCAGGTAGGAAGACAGTGCTTTGTATCGGATATCTGGTCCCATCATTTTCACCCTTGATTTAGTTTGATGCTAAAGTTCTGTTTAGAGATTAGGCTGTTCTATGATAATTGTATCACATGACTAAGACTATGAAAGCTCCTTTTCGATTCTTATTGTATATTTTGTGGCATGGTGGATGATGCAGTCAAGTGGATCAAATATTGGCTCTTCACACTTAAACCAGGTTCAGGCCTTTCATTTCAACAGGTACACTTTGTACCCACACAGTTCACAGGTACACTTTGTACCCACTCAGTTCACAGGTACACTTTGTACCCACTCAGTTCACAGGTACACTTTGTACCCACACAGTTCACAGGTACAGTTTGTACCCACTCAGTTCACAGGTACACTTTGTACCCACACAGTTCACAGGTACACTTTGTACCCACTCAGTTCACAGGTACACTCTGTACCCACACAGTTCACAGGTACACTTTGTACCCACACAGTTCACAGGTACACTTTGTACCCACACAATTCACAGGTACACTTTGTACCCACACAGTTCACAGGTACACTTTGTACCCACACAGTTCACAGGTACACTTTGTACCCACACAGTTCACAGGTACACTTTGTACCCACTCAGTTCACAGGTACACTCTGTACCCACACAGTTCACAGGTACACTTTGTACCCACACAGTTCACAGATACACTTTGTACCCACTCAGTTCACAGGTACACTTTGTACCCTCTCAGTTCACAGGTACACTTTGTACCCACTCAGTTCACAGGTACACTTTGTACCCACTCAGTTTACAGGTACACTTTGTACCCACACAGTTCACAGATACACTTTGTACCCACTCAGTTCACAGGTACACTTTGTACCCACACAGTTCACAGGTACACTTTGTACCCACACAGTTCACAGGTACACTTTGTACCCTCTCAGTTCACAGGTACACTTTGTACCCACACAGTTCACAGGTACACTCTGTACCCACACAGTTCACAGGTACACTTTGTACCCACTCAGTTCACAGGTACACTTTGTACCCACACAGTTCACAGGTACACTTTGTACCCACTCAGTTCACAGGTACACTCTGTACCCACACAGTTCACAGGTACACTTTGTACCCACACAGTTCACAGGTACACTTTGTACCCTCTCAGTTCACAGGTACACTTTGTACCCTCTCAGTTCACAGGTACACTTTGTACCCACACAATTCACAGGTACACTCTGTACCCACACAGTTCACAGGTACACTTTCTACCCACACAGTTCACAGGTACACTCTGTACCCACACAGTTCACAGGTACACTCTGTACCCACACAGTTCACAGGTACACTCTGTACCCACACAGTTCACAGGTACACTTTGTACCCACACAGTTCACAGGTACACTTTGTACCCACACAGTTCACAGGTACACTCTGTACCCACACAGTTCACAGGTACACTTTGTACCCACACAGTTCACAGGTACACTTTGTACCCACACAGTTCACAGGTACACTTTGTACCCACACAGTTCACAGGTACACTTTGTACCCTCTCAGTTCACAGGTACACTTTGTACCCTCTCAGTTCACAGGTACACTTTGTACCCACACAGTTCACAGATACACTCTGTACCCACACAGTTCACAGGTACACTTTGTACCCACACAGTTCACAGGTACACTTTGTACCCACACAGTTCACAGATACACTCTGTACCCACACAGTTCACAGGTACACTCTGTACCCACACAGTTCACAGGTACACTTTGTACCCACACAGTTCACAGGTACACTTTGTACCCACACAGTTCACAGGTACACTTTGTACCCACACAGTTCACAGATACACTCTGTACCCACACAGTTCACAGGTACACTCTGTACCCACACAGTTCACAGGTACACTTTGTACCCACACAGTTCACAGGTACACTTTGTACCCACACAGTTCACAGGTACACTCTGTACCCACACAGTTCACAGGAACACTTTGTACCCACACAGTTCACAGGTACACTTTGTACCCATTGTTTGTGCATAATCACCACTGAAGCCTCCTACTGTATATACCCATTATACACGGGTGCGCACTATACTCAAGAAAATACGGTATATATTTTTTGTGACATTAGTCCTAACAGCAGTACAAATACTCAGGCAATATCCCACATTATGCAACATGGCCTAAACACTATTTCTTCTGCTAGGCACAAACCATCGCAACATGGTCGACCCTGGCTGCTGCAGTGAGGAAAGACAGGAAGAGACAACAGGCGAGCACCAAGGAGTTCTTCGATTCCTTTGTGCCCAGCAGAGTGCCAATGTCGATGAAAGTCTTCGGACACAAGGTAAGTCGTCGACACCTTCTTGTTGGGCAAGGTGCCAATGTCGATGAAAGTCTTCGGACACAAGGTAAGTCGTCAACACCTTCTTGTTGGGCAAGGTGCCAATGTCGATGAAAGTCTTCGGACACAAGGTAAGTCTTCGATTCCTTTGTGCCCAGCAGAGTGCCAATGTCGATGAAAGTCTTCGGACACAAGGTAAGTCGTCGACACCTTCTTGTTGTGCAAGGTGCCAATGTCGATGAAAGTCTTCGGACACAAGGTAAGTCGTCGACACCTTCTTGTTGTGCAAGGTGCCAATGTCGATGAAAGTCTTCGGACACAAGGTAAGTCGTCGACACCTTCTTGTTGTGCAAGGTGCCAATGTCGATGAAAGTCTTCGGACACAAGGTAAGTCTTCGACACCTTCTTGTTGTGCAAGGTGCCAATGTCGATGAAAGTCTTCGGACACAAGGTAAGTCTTCGACACCTTCTTGTTGTGCAAGGTGCCAATGTCGATGAAAGTCTTCGAACACAAGGTAAGTCGTCGACACCTTCTTGTTGTGCAAGGTGCCAATGTCGATGAAAGTCTTCGGACACAAGGTAAGTCGTCGACACCTTCTTGTTGTGCAAGGTGCCAATGTCGATGAAAGTCTTCGGACACAAGGTAAGTCTTCGACACCTTCTTGTTGAGCAAGGTACCAATGTCTGTGAAAGTCTTCGGACACAAGGTAGGTCTTGGACACGTTCTTGTTGAGCAAGGTACCAATGTCTGTGAAAGTCTTCGGACACAAGGTAGGTCTTGGACACGTTCTTGTTGTGCAAGGTACCAAGGCCATTGCAAATCAGATGTGACACTTTTACGTTAAATGTTAGTCATTGACGGGGGTTAAGCCTAAGTTGGTGAAAGTCTTCGGACATAAGGTAAGGCCATTGCAAATTAGATGTGACACTTTTAATATTGTTGTATATCTTCTGTACAGAGTGGTATCCCTCAGTAGTGCCAGGATCTGCTAGTAATTGTGGCTCAAATCCGACATGTTTTCTTTTTTATTTTCTATTAAAGTCATCAAGTAGAAAAATGGACACCTTGGTATGAACAATAGATGACTGAAATAATAAAGATAACAAATAAACATTGATTTTAACAGTAACATTGGGATGTGTCTGTGTCAAACCTATTTTTGTTTTCCCTCCCCAACATATACTCGTACGTTTATGAATTTATCTCAATTGACCTTTACTTTTAGTCGTTGACGGGGGTTGAGTCGTGAGTTGGGTTGGGATGATAATCTATCAATGAATGTATTATGGCCAAAGCTGCAACTTCTTATTCAGTTAGGAACTTGTTTGCTTTAATACATAGTGTCTGTCTATCCATGAGGAATTGTGTTGTTTGAATGACCATCATGAGTTGAATCCATCTGTAGGTTCTGTTGTGTACTTGGTTGTTGTAGTGATGTCCTCACTTGCAGGATACACTGGCGGTGGCTGGGTTCAATGGCATCGGTGTGGTGGACCTGAAGGAGGGCCACGTGTTGGCGCAACACTCTATCCCAGCACCCCCGACAGCACCGCTCTTTGTGGGGGACTTCAACAATGATGGTCTTAATGATGTAGTTCTCACCTGTAAGATGGGGTATGTAGTAACAGAATAATGAATTGATTACGTTAGACTTGTGTACTTTTTAACCAACTGCGTATATATATTTATATCGTCATGTTTCAGGTACACTGTTTATCAACTAGTCATGTTTCAGGTACATTGTACATCAACTACTGTCATGTTTCAGGTACATTATACATCAACTACTGTCATGTTTCAGGTACACTGTATGTCAACTTCTATCATGTTTCAGGTACATTGTACATCAACTACTGTCATGTTTCAGGTACACTGTATGTCAACTTCTATCATGTTTCAGGTACATTGTACATCAACTACTGTCATGTTTCAGGTGCATTGTTTATCAACTACTGTCATGTTTCAGGTACATTGTACATCAACTACTGTCATGTTTCAGGTACATTGTACATCAACTACTGTCATGTTTCAGGTACATTGTACATCAACTATTGTCATGTTTCAGGTGCATTGTTTATCAACTACTGTCATGTTTCAGGTACATTGTACATCAACTATTGTCATGTTTCAGGTACATTGTTTATCAACTACTGTCATGTTTCAGGTACATTGTACATCAACTATCATCATGTTTCAGGTACATTGGATTTGTGCTGCAGTCCAAGACGAACCATGAGTTCACAGCTATGTATGCCACAGCCGTTTTCCTGGCTATCTTTGTCATCACAATGTGCATGTCGCCTGATGTGTGGTCCAAGTCGGAGGAGGATGAGGAGTAGGTTGCATCTCAGTCTGCATCTTGGGCTGCATCTCGGGACCTCTCACTGGTGTAGTCTCACCAGCAACTGATGCAGGAGTGTCCACACATCATTGGACTCCAACAGGTGTTATCTATTGGGGATGTGATGCCATTCAGAATATGAACAGTCTCTGCACACGGATGTTGAAGCTTCCTGGTGTGTGGACTGGTGGCAGCAGGAACTGACCTACAGGACGCATACTTCAACAGATGAACCCAATAGGAAGCTTTAGCCTATCCCAGCAGGCTTTCACCTCCCAGTTACCTCACACATAGTTCATCCATCCATCCATCCATCCATCCATCCATCCATCCATCTGTCTATCCATATGTCAATCCATGATAGGACTAAAAGAATTCTGTTTGATGAAACTGGTAATATTTGGGGGATCAATCAGATCAATTCTTATGTATGATTGTTGCCATGAACATAAGCATGGCACCGTGAAACACTGAATATTTTCACCATGTGCTTGTATTGTGTGTGTTATGTGTTTGGGGTGGGTACAACTATTTAGAGATATGTACTGAAACACTTATGAAAATGCATATTCATCGGTAAGATTTAGCATAAATGGCCACAAATTCTGTGTATTTTGGCATGAGATAATCAAAGACAACAATGTCGTTGTACAGGTTCGAATCTCATTCGATGCTTTTCAAGATGGACTTGACCACAAACACACAGGATTTAGAAATTGATTATGTGTTTTCGTTGTGTGTCAGTATAGACAGAAATAAAGCCATCCTAATTGTTTCTCCTGGATGGTCCACCAACTTATGGCAATCACAACTTTCATTCAGAGCTGCTTCCTTCGTATGTTGTACATGTTTAGTTGGATCTCATTGCCACAGGACTGTTTGTCAAGGAATGAATGTATGATACACGAGAACAGTACTTATTGAATAAATACTATATTTGTAAAGAGAATGTTGTTTGGTACGCATGGCCAATCTCACACACCAATATCCAGGGATGAGAATCCCCCGCAGATCCACAAATCTCCACGAATTTTAGTGACCATCAATCTGATGGCTTCCCCCATAAACACCCCCAAATTATGGACCACACTCCATTGCACAGAGATTCCAGTTGAAAAGCAATATATCCATTCTCAGCTCTGAATATAGATAATCTCTTGAGAGGGTGATTACACTGGATTGACTGGTCACGCTGGATGACTTTGCTGCAGATAACTGCTGGCCCAGACAATCCAGTGATTGACATCAGCATCAGTCATTGCAATCGAGATAACTCGGTTCATTTGCATCGTCTGCTAGCCGTCAAAATGTCTGAATCAAAGTGTTTTTCTCAGTGCAACTTCAGACATATATTCCGGCTCTGTATGAATGAATGTTGGTGAGACATCACTTGGGGCATATGGTGTGTGAGCCTATACATGTTCTATAGGCTCACACACAAGGTACATCACACCATATACCCCTCGAGATTGGTTGACAACTTATGATGTAAGAATATACTTGTGAATGATTGTATATGTAGCTGCCTAGGGGTCATACTTGTAACCCCAGCAACCTTTGCCTGTCGAGAACAAGGTGGTCAGGGCAGGTGGTGGATGGCATGTCATCACACACCTACATCATTGTTAATTATATTAATCACTGGTTGTCTGGCCCTGACTTGAATAGCGTCAAGCTGCCTTGATATAGGTGGAATATTACTGACTGCAGCCCTAGACAAGAAGCCCAATATTCAGGACAAGGTCGAACACTTGGTCGGCTGGTCCAAGGAGCTGCTGTGTGCCTAACCGAGGTGCGTCCTATAGGTGTCCTGAGTTTCACTGATCCACTCAGATAACTTCCACTGCTATTTGGCGTTTTATGCTCATTGGAATTTGTTTCGTTTGATAATCCAGACTGGTTATTATCCCCCTGGCATATAATGAGGGGGGATATAGCGATCAGCCAGTCTGTCTGTCCGTCCGTAATCATTTCCTTTCCCGGGGCAGAATTCCAAAACCATTCAGTGTATTTGATCGAAACTTGGCAAATCTATCAGGCACATACTGAAGTGGTGCCTTTTGATATTTTAGGATTTTTCTAATTTTAATTTTTTTTAATTTATATGGAATGAAGTTGGACATAGACTCAATTGGGGATGGGGTTCGTTTCCGGGGCAGAATTTGAAAACCATTAAGTGTATTTGATCGAAACCTGGCAAATCTATCAGGCACATACTGAAGTGGTGCCTTTTGTTATTTTGGGATTTTTCTGATTTTTATTTTTTTAAATTTTTATGGAATGAAGTTGGACATAGACTCAATTGGGGTTGGGGTTGGGGTTGGGGCACATACTGAAGTGGTGCCTCTTGATAAAATTTTTTTTACGAATTTTTATTTTTTACAATTTTTATCGAAAGAAGTTGGACCAAGACTCCATTGGGGAACGGGTTCGTTTCGGGGCCAGAATTCGAAAACCATTCAGGGCCAGAATTCGAAAACCATTCAGTGGGTAAACAATGTATGCTTCTTAAAGAACATTCAACTATTGATTCATTACATAGAGAATTGCACATTTACTAGTGGTTACTTTACAGACAGCTGTCGGGGGGATATGTCATCTTTCGGATGACTCGTTCTCTGGTGTTGATGTCTTATATACAGGACACACATGGTTTACGGATAAAAGAAAAATGAGAGTAACTTTATTTCGCATAATATTCATGTTTCATGTTATTTGGCATACAGTTGATAAGGTCGTTTAGTGGGAAAAATCATATCCTGCTGAAGTTATACCATCAGCCTAATGACAGCATTCCCTTAAAATACAAGGATCTCTATTGCATGTCCAGACAATCCAGTGACAGGCAATCGTCCCAGTCACCTGTCTAATCAACAGCATCTTCCCGAGGCAAGAGAATTAACTGACTTTAAAAGTCAAGTTCCTTTTAAGTCAAATTCCACCTCTCGTATCAGTTACATTTGTTTCAAACAAAATGGCGGCGCACAGTCAGGACCATCTGATCGATAATCAATATCTATATTGTCATAAAACGGGTCTTACATGGCGAAATGCATCAAATTACGTGAGGACCTTGATTAAACATGAAAAGATTTGGAAAATATCTTCTGTCAACGAGTTGGCGGGGCACACGCTTCAGCAAAACCTGCAATGGACCGAAATCTGCACAACAGTTTACGAACCGGATTTCGATTTCATTGCGCGATTTTGATTGGACTATGCATAGACTCGTTAGTCCAGCCAAAATGTAACTCCATAATACCAGCCAAGCTCGACAAGGGTGGAAACTGGACTTTTTAAGTCAGTTAACTCTCTTGCCTCGGGAAGATGGACCAACAGATCAAACATAAGTCCACAAGGGGAGTGAAAGTAGAAATCAAAGTATTAAGTTGGGTTGATGTAAAGACTCTGCATTCTATAGTAATTATATTAGCCACAGACTGATACATGTTGTGAGTTTGAAGGATTGCAGTGGTCTGGGCACAGGGAAATGATTAGTGTTGTCGGGGCACAGGGAAATGATTACAGCGGTCGGGGCACAGGGAAATGATTACAGTGGTCGGGACAGAGGGAAATGATTACAGTGGTCGGGACACAGGGAAATGATTACTGTGTTTGGGGCACATGGAAATGATTACTGTGTTTGGGGCACATGGAAATGATTTCTGTGTTTGGGGCACAGGGAAATGATTACTGTGGTTGGGGCACAGGGAAATGATTACTGTGGTCGGGAAAAAGGGAAATGATTACTGTGTTTGGGGCACAGGGAAATGATTACTGTGGTCGGGACACAGGGAAATGATTACTGTGTTTGGGGCACAGGGAAATGATTACTGTGGTTTGGACACAGGGAAATGATTACTGTGTTTGGGGCACAGGGAAATGATTACTGTGGTTTGGACACAGGGAAATGATTACTGTGTTTTGGGCACAGGGAAATGATTACTATGGTCGGGAAACAGGGAAATGATTACTGTTGTCGGGGCACAGGGAAATGATAACTGTGGTCGGGACACAGGGAAATGATTACTGTGGTTGGGGCACAGGGAAATGATTACTGTGTTCGGGACACGGGGAAATGATTATTGTGGTCGGGACACAGGGAAATGATTACTGTGTTCGGGACACGGGGAAATGATTATTGTGTTCGGGACACAGGGAAATGATTACTGTGGTGGGGACACAGGGAAATGATTACTGTGTTCGGGACACAGGGAAATGATTACTGTGTTCGGGACACAGGGAAATGATTACTGTGGTCGGGGCACAGGAAAATGATTACTGTGGTCGGGACACAGGGAAATGATTACTGTGGTCGGGGCGCAGGGAAATGATTATTATGTTTAGGGCACAGGGAAATGATTACTGCGGTTAGGGCACATGGAAATGATTACTGTGTTTGGGGCACATGGAAATGATTACTGTGTTTGGGGCACATGGAAATGATTACTGTGGTCGGGACACAGGGAAATGATGAGAGTGGTCGGGACACAGGGAAATGATTACTGTGGTCGGGACACAGGGAAATGATTACTGTGGTCGAGACACAGGGAAATGATAACTGTGGTTGGGGCACAGGGAAATGATTACTGAGGTTAAGGCAGAGAGACATAATTACTGTGGTCGGGGCTCAGGGAAATGATTACTGTGGTCGGGGCTCAGGGAAATGATTACTGTGGTCGGGGCACGGGGAAATGATTACTGTTGTCGGGGTACAGGGAAATGATTACAGTGGTCGGGGCACAGGAAAATGATTACTGTGGTCGGGACACTGGTAAATGATTGCTGTTGTCGGGACACATGGAAATGATTACTGTGGTCGGGGCACAGGGAAATGATTACAGTGGTCGGGGCACAGGAAAATGATAAATGTGGTCGGGACACAGGGAAATGATTGCTGTGGTCGGGACACTGGTAAATGATTACTGTGGTCGGGGTACAGGGAAATGATTACTGTGGTCGGGGTACAGGGAAATGATTGCTGTGGTCGGGACACAGGGAAATGATTACTGTGGTCGGGGTACAGGGAAATGATTGCTGTGGTCGGGACACAGGGAAATGATTACTGTGGTCGGGACACATGGAAATGATTACTGTGGTCGGGGTACAGGAAAATGATTACAGTGGTCGGGGTACAGGGAAATGATTACAGTGGTCGGGGCACAGGGAAATGATGAGAGTGGTCGGGACACAGGGAAATGATTACTGTGGTCGGGACACATGGAAATGATTACTGTGGTCGGGGTACAGGGAAATGATTACAGTGGTCGGGGCACAGGGAAATGATGAGAGTGGTCGGGGCACAGGGAAATGATTACTGTGGTCGGGGCACAGGGAAATGATTACTGTGGTCGGGGCACAGGGAAATGATTACTGTGGTCGGGGTACAGGGAAATGATTACTGTGGTCGGGACACATGGAAATGATTACTGTGGTCGGGACACATGGAAATGATTACAGTGGTCGGGGCACAGGGAAATGATTACTGTGGTCGGGACACAGGGAAATGATTACTGTGGTCGGGACACATGGAAATGATTACTGTGGTCGGGGTACAGGGAAATGATGAGAGTGGTCGGGGCACAGGGAAATGATTACTGTGGTCGGGGCACAGGGAAATGATTACTGTGGTCGGGGTACAGGGAAATGATTACTGTGGTCGGGGCACAGGGAAATGATTACTGTGGTCGGGGCACAGGGAAATGATTACTGTGGTCGGGGCACAGGGAAATGATTTCTTTGGTCGGGGCACAGGGAAATGATTACTGTGGTCGGGGCACAGGGAAATGATTACTGTGGTCGGGACACAGGGAAATGATTACTGTGGTCGGGGTACAGGGAAATGATGAGAGTGGTCGGGGCACAGGGAAATGATTACTGTGGTCGGGGCACAGGGAAATGATTACTGTGGTCGGGGCACAGGGAAATGATTACTGTGGTCGGG